ATTATCGAAACGTCGTGCGCTTTCGCCGCTGATTCCATAGCTATTCTCTTTTCATTTCCTGAATCGCTGACAAGGAGAATTTGTTTAAAAATCAAGAGCTTCCCAGGTTCGTGATTATTTCCTTGATTCCTGGGACCCTAGTGTTTCATTCAGGGGTGATATCGTAAGGAGAAATTAGAAGCTGATCACTCTTAGGGGTTGAAGGGTTAAGAGAAAGCTCGCTAAAAATAATACTTAATGAAGTAATTTTAAGAATCCATTTGAAGAAAGGACCAGTCTTGTACAGTATGTTTTCTACGATGTAACCGAGTCAATCATTTTTAAAATTGGTTAAAAAGTGTGAGCCGTAAGGTACCTTCTCTGGCTGAACAAAATTTCGCTATAAACTTCCTTCCTGTGTGATTTTAGCTGAGTATATGACCTTCCTCGCCTTTTAAGAGCTTTTCCGTTTCTGTTTGGTTGAAGCGTTTATCCGAACATCCTTACCCTGGCGAGCTGGTTAGAAATGGATTTTTATCTCTCTTTAATCAAAATATAATTTTTTTTTAGTTCAGCTATGTGTTGGTATCTTTCTTCGCAGTAAAGTACTACTTCACTTATAAAAGCTAATAGTCCCTTGAAATGAATTTTTATTATATTTCTTTCATGATAATAACTAACATCGTTATACTCCTGTGAGACACACGTTATATTCTGAATTTATTTGCCACAACATTTGGTCGCCTTTGCTCTCAATTTCCTCGATCCTATTTTCACATCCTCATTTAGATTAAAATAAAAATTCGAATCCTTGTCAGCATTGTCCTTGTCTACGAGTTAAACACCGAAATGTAGTAATTCTAGAAAATATTCCCACATTAAGAAGTTATTTCCATTCTTGCAAACCAAGAGTTATTTTACTGATGAAGCTAGGGTCAAAGTTGCCAGCTGTACCGGCTCGATTGTAAAAACGACTGATTAGCATTTCGTGACCGCTACAAACCGTCCCAAAATTAAAATAGAAAGGCTGAGGATATCAAAATACATATCTTATTCCCTTTGAATCAAAATTCTCTGGTTTTTAGTTTCTTGTTTAAGTCAGTACCACTAGCGCGATAAGACTCACGTATTTTCCAAGGAAACGTTTCCGCTCAGAAAAACAAAAATGAGAGTGAATGGTTATTTATTTCCATCTTGAAAGCTCTCTGACGTCAGTCAAGATTTAAATCTGAAATATTCTCCCAGCTGTTGATGTTTTTGAGATAACAATACTTTTTCTTTTATGTGAAACAAAAGTCTCCAGCCTCGTTACTCATCCGGCTCGATTCCCCACATTCTATAAAAATCATACTCTTTAGCGATCTGAATGGAAGAAAATACCACCCCACATACACAGCCTACTAAACCAAACACAGCTATTGACACATCGAACAATATATGATACCAAGGCATAGTGGAATAGTGAAGCTTAATATGAAAAAGACACGGATATATAAGCACTAAAATGGTGCCGGTGAAACTGCCGACAAAGGCCATTAGTAAACCGAAATGAGGCACGAAAATTGCCACAAGAGTAGAGAGCAAAATAAACATGAACCTGAACACCAGTTTTGGCATGGAATTCCTGTTGCATCGGAGAGGCTCATCTTTGAGTTCAGCAAACAGAGGAATATTGAGCTGGTGTTCAAAAATGTCATACAGCGTGAACATGGGAACCACATAAAACAGAAGTGCTGTGACGATAACTGCGAGAGAAAGAGTGATGCGGAACGCACCATGTGGGACACTAAGTGTCATAATCTGCTCTGTGTGTTCCCTGAAACAGAAGAACACCAGGATTCCATAGTTGAATTTGATAATGGTAACCAGAGTATAGGTGAAATCCATGATGGCGTTAAACTCTCCTGGATACCGCATGGACTTTTCGATGATAGGTAGATAAGCCTGTGATGAATAGGTTACCACGATGATTCCCATGGCAATGGACATTTCTTTGAATTTCAATGGCGCTAGTTCGTGAGTCCTCCATTGTTGAAAGTGAGCCAGAGCAAATACCAACACACAGGTCGAAGTGACCAGAGCCACGATAACAGTTAAGATACTGATCCAAGAGATGTGCTTCATTGTACGGACGCCAGCACACGGCAACACAGCAATGGAGACCACCGCGATCCAAACGCTCTCTGACACAAAGCTATCTGGAAACGTGTGGTGCAGCACAGTCCCACACATGATAAGGAATAGAGTGCAGTGCGAGAACTGTTCAAAGAAGTTAGTAATGTGCACCATGACGCGCCCATATCGGGGCCAGAATGCTTCACCCAGGTCGGCGTAAGTGGCCTTTGAGAGGTTTTCATAAGCAGTGTCCTCCCGAAGACAGTAGATCAGAAGTTTGCCCGTATAATTACCGAGAGCAGCGATAATAATGATGAGAATGACTCCCCAGTAGCCGGTCAGACGTATAACATACGGCATAGCTAGAACCCCAGTGCCCATGTTGGCATTAAAGATATTGAAAAATGCTTCCAGAGAAGAAGTTTTGTTTTCTAACTCATTTTCGGAGCCTTCTTGGTTGGATTTGCTTTCTTTCCCCAGAAGGGGTGAAGATGATCTCGACTCGCTCATAACGAATTACTTTGAGTCTGTTTCCTTTACACTCGAGATGGCGCTTCTCATTAATTGTCTTCACTTTAAATCAATTCTGAATTTCGTTTAGCGTCTTTCTTCAGAAAGGTCAAGTGTTTTAACTGACAGATCACATGTTATCTTGAAGACCCGTCCATTTCAAACATCGGGGAAAGCGCTCTGACTTGTAAATGAAATTTCTTCTATAGAAGCTTCAGGCTTTCGCGCAAACAATTTATGTGTTGGAGGTCTTAAACGTTATTAGCACACGAGCCAATTAACTGTTATTAAAACACGAGCCAATTAGCTTTGGCGCCTAACATCCAATCAAAAGCGACAAAACATCTTGAAAAATATCACAAATTTCCACCTGCTTGTACAGGGATCGGCTTTCCTGAACATTCTCGCGTGGGAAATTGTGAAGATGCATTTATTTAAACAGTCTTTCTAATCGTCTTTCTTCAACCAGACCTTCAGAGGAAACTTACAATTTTTTCTGGTCAAGTTCATGCACAATAAAAAGTAATAATACATTTTGTTTGAATTTACAACCACTCTTTCCACTAATTAATTATTTATTCGATCGTTCAGAGTAGAGTAAATTGGCTGCTTTTGGCGTTTTAGCTAATAATTTATGAACTTTCATTTCTGAAAGGAAGATCTAAAAAATTATCAATCCACCTACTAATAAATGATAACAACATTATTACACAAGAAAAAGACTTATTTATCACTCTTTTCTTAGAAAATACACCCTAACTAAGTAATTCAGCCGTGTGGGAATGTTTTTTTTTTCTATCGTGTAACCATATTTCCCTTTCCATGCATGAATTCAAACCTATAAGGAAAGTAAAAAGTGCTTTCATTTTTATCGATAATGAAAATTGAAGCAAAAATGTCAAATTGAAATTTAAGGGTCTGTTTAAATCAGGAAAGCCTGAAAATGCGATTACAAATAATAAGCTTGGTGTATGCTCTTGTGATACCGCTTCTCGTCTTTATTTACATTTTCAAAACCCAAGATTATCTTATCAAATTCTCTTTATTTCGATTGGGAAACGAAATATTTAAAATAATTTTTTTTAACATTCGAGTGGCTGTAGGTAATTGTATTATTTACAAGCGCGTTGGTACTTAACAGTGGGTTTTGCGAATAATCACTCTGCTCGCCCACACAATCTGTGACTGTCTTTGAAATATCTGTTTTAATCTACAGTTTTCACCTCTGTCTTTCATTGTCTGCAAATCAGCAAGAGTAAAAGCTTAAACTTCCTAGAGTGACCAGTACGCAATATTGATGAAGAAGATTTTTCAATATGATAGAGTAGAAGGTGTTCTATACACCAAAACTTCAGCTAAACATTATTAACCAGGCATCCTCATTTTCGGGTAGAAACATGTATTCTTGTCTTGAATCGAAAAATCAACTTTGAATTTTCAAGCTGATAGAGATGTATGATTAAAACAAAAGGAAAGTTATAAACATGCATGGTGTTAGTTCTATATGTTTGGAGTCCTTTATGCCAACTCAATGCAACTTGAGAGCATCCTATTTAATTGCTTTCCTTTTCTTTTCATAAGTCATAAGATCAACAACATCATCTTATCCCGATACTGAGTAATTAGCTACCAACAAAGGCCGTTACAGAACGCTTCAACAAAATGATTAAGGGCTGGATGAATTTGCCAAGACTGCCGCATGAGTATCTCGTGGCTCGATTTACATATTTGTAGTGTTTATTTCAGTGGCGGTACAAAAAATTTAAAAAAATCTCCAGCGCATGTTTGATATGATTATTAAATTTCTTCATAGGCTTTGTTGATTCGGGTCCTTATTGACGTTAACTACATTCCAGATTTAACATTTGTAACGGAAATAATTTAACATAAGTAACGGAAATATGTCCGAAAGAAAACAAAGTAGATCAGTGGGGTTTGAAAGCCATGCAAGAGAACGCAAGAAAATTTATTGCCTGAAAGATTAAATTAACCGTAGGGGTGGGTAAAGGTTTATAATCTTATATCAAGTAAAACCAGTTTAGATTTGTGTTGAGTTAAAGATTTTGATAATCAAACCAGAACGTGTTCACATTCGAGTCTCGACTCCTCCAGGCAGAAAGTACGAGAAGACAGATTTGTTCGGTTGCGATACAGATGGACGCCGTCGAGCTGTAATCTGAAGCTCAAACCAAGCTTTGTTTTAAGGAAACTGTATAATCCGTTCCACCGATCGGATAAAAGTGAAATGCTCTGTTTTGTATACATCAGCTCATTCATCTCACTTCAGAAAATTTCCCTGGGAGTAGATGAAGAACGTCTCTGAATAACGAAGATCATACTTATAACTCAAGGAAACATGAAAAGAAAAATTTCATATTTTTCATATTACTTCTGATCAGGAGAGGCGAGCAACAATCGATTTATTTTATCCATCCTCTCCCTTCCCTTGTGCAATTGTTACTTACAATTAAGTTACTAATCCTGGATCTCCATTGTGCTAAATTGAAAGACAGATTTCAAGCAGTTGCAAAGCAGGAAAGGAAGTGGCATGAAGGTTTTTAGAGAGGTCTTCCCTTTTTTAGGTTATCGGCAAAATTACATGGCTATGACAGAAGAAGTATTGATAAAAATACAGTAACACCATCATGAAATATGCAACGTTAAAAAAGAAAACAAATCGGAAGCAGATTAATGGAGTTCAATCAAATTTTCACCTAATTCACCTCCTAGATAACTTTAACATAATTAACGTGTCAGTAAAGTAGGCAATAATGTACATTTATGCCTTTTAAACAAAATTCTAGGTACACAAAGTAAAAAAAAAATTGCTATTAATGAATTTTATGGTAAATTTAATGGCCTTTTCTCAGCGTTGTATCACAGTATTTTACTAAGAATAAAGAATCAAGTTTCGAAAATTAATGTAGCAATCATGGTGGTCATATTGGTGACACATTTACCGTTAAGGAAAATAAAAAAGAACACGAGCTAAAGAGTTTAAAAAATTTAACTATAACAGACTTAAATAAACATAGTTCTAGGTGAGAATTATCAACATGTGACTGTTTAAAGAACTCTGGAAAATCTCGCCAACGACACCATAAGAATTTAACCTCGATGATGAGATTTGAGCGCAGGTGAGGCAGAGTTTAACTCTCTTGAGTTCTTTCTTTTAGTTTATCTAACCCACTACTGTAATACCTTACGAATAGCTTTTTGATAATATGATGTACGCGAAAAAAGCTTCTTTTTAACCACAAATAGGATGAAATTTTACAAAAGGGACAAAGACTGGTACATTAAACTTATTCTAAGAAAGCTTGATTTTCTGTCTTCTAGTTAAAAAGTTCTCGCACTTGTTACTTGTTACAAAGCTGGGTTAAGATAACCCAGGGTTAGTGTGAAATCTGATTTTAGATATGAAAGCTTTTATAGAAAATTCAGTATTATTATTTTTGTCTAGGATATGATTATTAGATGCTCTAAAAAGAATAGAAAAAATTATCCCAACAAGGCTTTTGTACAAGGAAATAAAGAAACCCGGATTAAAACTTAGTCTTAGGTTTGCGCTTATCGGCCTTCGACCAACTGAATTTTTTTCTTTGTCCCACACTCGTGACGAGAAAAAGAAAGAACTTTCGCTTTAGCTTATTTGTTAACAAAAAGAGCAAAATAAGCGCGGGTTAGGGAACAGAAAAAAATCCTTTAAAACATATCCACAACGGTGATTGGCTACAAACTCAGTACATATCTTTAGTTGCATGCCACATTCTACCAAGTAACCGCTAGAATATTGGACATGACCGTCATAATCACCGGAGCAGCCAAGAAGTGCCCTGGAACAGATAAAGACAAACACACACTAGTTTCCCTGATATTCATACGATCTTAAATGATATGTGGGTTAAAAAAGTATGGTTGAAATAAACTAGTAACCATTTCTACATTCTTTTCTTTTGTCGACAGGGAAAAAGAACTTTATTTCTAGGGACTTAAAGTGAGTCAAATATGTCGCACAAAGTAATGTGTGCTGTTTGTATAGTTCTTGTCATTTGGTTAGGTATACCAATTTCTCTGATACATTTCCCACTCTCATGTTCGGCTCACTACATGTTACCACGTCTCAATTGTCTTTCGCCATAACATGGGATCTCAGTCAGTCACATGGTTAGTGACATAGGGCTTTGGTTTCAAACAAAAGTGAAACAAAATGATGAAAACAACTGACCGAGACTGTGCATGCAATCACACACTGTGTAACACGATACATCTCGCTCCACGGGTCCATAATGTGAGCATCTATTGAGACCTATGCATCGCTCTGTTATGATCGTACAATTTCTTATCTGGCGAATCACTGGGCCCCCTGTGTCACAACACTTCTTCTGGCAATCATCGGTATTTTCTACTCTCCAAGAAGACCACCTTACTGCAGCTACAGAATCAAGCAAAGCAAATTTTTTCGGTTAAAATGTATTTGATGTAAGTTGCCGTTAACTTTTCCATCCAGGTACTTATCAGTCTGGTCATATTCAGGTTTGGGTCTTCATTTGAACGACGTTGGTTTCATTAAAAAGCGCTAATGAGCGTGATAAATAAGGCTTCCTGTAGAACCATTTCATAAGTTTCTATTTGTCTAACGAAGTATCATTTATATAACTGTAAGTATTCATCAAACCAAGTTGTTATTTTTGCTAACGGTACCGTCATATTCTTACCGTAACCAATAGACACAGTGGCGGTCTGATTGACAGAGTGATCTACGGACTTCGCTATTGATACGGTAGTCATTCTATGTCCACCCTTAGAGAGAAGGGAGCTGCCTCCGGAATTACCCTGTTTGGTAGTAGTGCTGTTAACTACAACTGGAGAGGTCGTGCCAATGGTTGAATTTGATGTTGCCGTGAGTGGGGGAGTAACTGTTACACTGCTTGAACCAAGAGATGAATGCATGAAGTAGAAAGCTAACGTGGCGGTGAGCAGAGCCTGTTGCAACAACATCTGCAATAACAGTTTTGTGTCATAACCATATTACTGGAGTAAACACCGCCCTGGTATATACACCGCACCCAATCAGAAGAATGTTGCATTTATTCGAAGTTTATAGTAAAATTGGATATCAAGTATCATATAACTCGGTTACCTCCACCTTCCGTCGAAATTTTTTTATCTAAAAACGAGACTTGAGAACTTAAAAGAAGTTTCTGAGTCACAAAATGATTTATCGTGGTAAACTGGAGAAATATGATTTTGAAATAAATGCCGCAACGTTATGAACTTCGCATCAGAAACGCTAAAAATTGAATAATTGCTTCGGCGCTTGATCAAGTAAATACGATAGCTTATTTAAGAAACATGATTGGAAGGCTTAGTCGAAATAACGTTAAATCCTGTAATCAGGTTTCTAAAGATTAGGAGTAGGGAAAAGCATGAATGTAAACATACGGCCTCACTCTTTCATGGACCCGTGCGATAAGCAAGGATTTCCATCACTAACATTTGATGCTTTATTGCATTGATTTGTGTTGTAGTTTCCCTCAATCTTTTACCATCGACTATTTTTCACGGCCACAGAAGCTCAAAAGAGTTATTTTCATAATTTGTGATAGGAGCGGCCCGCCAATTATGTTTTAGAGAAAAAAAATATTATGAATACCTATTGCATTTAGATATATTTTATCGTAGTAGTATTCTCAGCTTTCGATATGACACAAGAACCATTTCTGTTTCAGCGGCATTTTGTCCACCGAATTACATATTTAAGAAAAGTGTAAAAGTGGTGTTCTTGGCTCTCTGACCATAGTACCAACTCTCTTCTGGCGGAAAATATTCTTTTGTTTTCCTAATGTCCTCTTCAACAAAACACCTGCCCAGTTTTTCTTACGACACATAAACACAAGGAGGTTGATTCACGTAACTGCTTGAAAAGGTAAAACACTTATTTATGAATATTATGAAACCCTGAAAGAACTTAAAGAACAGTATCGGTTTTATCTGGCAATGTTGCAAACTAAAATCTACAGAAACATGAGCAAAATATTATATTTTCAAGTTTCAGATATGTCTCCTATTCTAGCAATAACAAGCAGATCAAGTTTTACTCTAGTTTCACTGAATGAAAGTATGCCGTGGATAAGGTGGGAAAGTGACTTATTTTTCTCTTTCCGAAATCAGCCCCAGCATCATCTCTATCGTAGCACGTAAAAAATTGAGTCTATTTATGCTATTTTTTTTCTCATAGTGGAAGCAATTAATGCACTTAATCCATACACAAGAAATATGCGGAGCTTGTTTAATCAAGGAGGGGCGAAACATAGTCATTTTCTGTCCACAAGCACGAACATTCATACAGTAGATTTAAAGGATTGTTGACGAATATCGCAATATTACAGCGAAGAGAAAAAAATTTGGTTGCTTGTGGTAAATGCTGAGTCGCTGCAAAGATATCGTTTTTCATTGAAAACTGCTTTTTTGTTTGACCTAAATTATGATACGGTAAGTTTACAAGGCTAAATCGATCTTACAGGAAATGCGCAAATATTTAGAAGTGAAGAATCTGCGCATTGAAGATATTTATGTCAGACGAATTAAGTCGTGCGAAGGAAAATTACGTAAAGTGTTCCTAAGTCAGCTTAACCTATCGCCACAGAAACGGGCTTTTGACAAACAACGGGTTAATGAATTGTTCTTGTACCTTTTGCTGATATTTCTGTAGCAAAACTATGCACATTTCTTTTTTCCGAGCAACGTTTCCCTAACTATCCTGACCTTGCATGTCGCTGATTAGGTTGAGTCGTTCCACTGACATATACTATATACACATATGTATCTGTATGGAAATATTTGCCAAATTATCCCGTTCCAATTTTGTCTCTGGGGAAAAAACCGTTGTCATGAAAACAAAGATTTGCCACATTGATAAAAGTATTCTCTTACCTTTGTGAAAATGTTAAAGCTGCAATTGGATCTTACAGCAGAAGGGCTCTAATTTGAAGGCGATAAAAATTTGAGTTTACCTTGCAGTATCTTTTTACAGTGTTTTAACTTGTTTCCATAGAACCAACAAAGGCAAAAAAAATTATTGTTGAACTTTGTATGTTATTAACCTACGTCGCCTCCTACTTATAATTCGAAATGCGCATGTTTAAAAGAACCAATTGGTTGTTAGCTTCGTTGTTGTGTGTACCCTCTACTTTCAAATAAAGTTATTAATCATTTATGGTAAAAAAATTCTTATTCGGCATTCTTTTTTTCGCAATGGAGTTGTAAAAAAATTTTACCAGATATTAGATATTTTCGGTTAAATTTTGTTGTCTGTAAATCATGCAAATTACTGTTGCAAACTGCTACGGACATCTAATTTTCGTCAATTTCACTTTCGTTCAAAGTTGTCGGTGTCAGTTTACATTTTCCTTTCATCACACCGGTGCACCTTTGAATAAATTCAGCCACCTAAGAAAAAAACTACTGAGCTTCAATTTGACGATCTTTTTTTCGTGTACAGTTCCTGCATTACAAAAATAACTCCTTCCCCTAAAAGTCCACTGTTTCGACCTGTTCGATCAATCCTATCACGAAGACATAGCTGAATATACATTTTCCTTGTTCGCCTTGTGGAAAAAAAACTTTTCACCTACTCTTTGCCGATAGACTCCGTGATAAGAAGCGCATGTCGGACCTTAGAAAGACATGATAAAAGGCTAACGATTTGCCTTTTCCAAATGGGAAATTAAAAAAGGGGAAGTGAAAGTACTGTGTTGCGGATTTTCAGATGGCACTTTCGGCTGTTATTAAGCTGCACACGGCCAGGTCGTGTACAATCGCAGTAGCCTCAAACACTGAAAAAAGTTTTAATTCTTTTTGCTTAACTGTGGTGATTGGCTTTTCCTTTTAAACCACCTTCTTGGGCTGGTGTAGTGTGGAATTTCAGTTTGAACGATTTGAATTAATGGTTTTACTTATGAAAATATGAAAGCGGATCTTTTCCAACCAATGAAATAGAAGCAGCTAATGGTTTTTAACAAATGTGAAGTGAGTTACGTTCTTGTTGACATAAAAATTGGCAAATTATTTTGTGTTAGAGGATCGCACCTTTTTGATCTACAGGTCTCATTCAAAATTTCTCTAGCGATAGAGGGCGAAATCATCATTCTACAGCGATTTAAAACTTTAAAACGAAATCTATCATGAGTATTCTCATTACAATCTAAATGCCGTGTCCTTAGCTGAGGACTGTTGTGTGCGAACACTGGGAAAGAAGCGTGGAAGCGAACAGAATGGAATGTGAAAATAAAAAAACTCGGGGAATTTTTAAATGCGAAAGCGGTTATGATCTCTTATGAGGCAAAAAAAAGAGTTCCTAATGAGTCCTTGACTAGTTTTTCACGAGGCTACCCCAACAATTACAGTTTCTCTCAATAAGATATACTGTGCGTAAACATTTTAAAAACAGGATAGAACTTTTAATACTAAAATAGTTATCTAATACAATTCTTTACACTACACATGCACTATTCCAATCGTTTTAATTTCTCAGTTTTCATGGATTTGTGAATGACGCATAAATGTATTCGATTTGTTTAAGTTATTCACGAAAGGAACGCTTTCGCGTTTCATTAAGCCATTATACAAACCAATTACAAGACCCTCTGTGGAGCTTGTTACATCCTTGCAAAAGAAACGAAGCCACTACTCATTTATGACGCTGTGTTTTGGCGGGGAAGGGGGCTTGACATCGCTCGGAAGCGAGGTTTTAGAGCTGAAAAATGTCCTCCAAACGGTTGTCTGTCAACACTGTTCCAAAGCAATCCATTACTGATGCTAGTATCTAATATTAATACAGGAATTGTTTTCCAGTTATATATTATCTTTTACTGAAATAATTTCAAATTTCTCGTGAGCTACAGGGTAAAGAAGTGCGACACTACTATTAGAAACCAGAGATAGCTTACAAGTGTTACTTAAATACGAGAAGTGCTACAATTACCAATTGCTTGGGGTAACATTCAGTTCTTTCCATTTGTTGTATTCATGTACATAATTTTCTTTCCAATCATGCCAAGCATCAAACATTCCCCATTAAAGTTGGAAAAAGGTGATTCATAACTACTAATTAAAAAATATATTTTGCATCCTAGAGTGATCGTTCGTAACAGCATAAGATTCGAAATAGAAACTAATTGAATGAGCGAGTGGTTCAATCTCCGTCTGTCATCTGAAGGAACTGTGCATAGGCGTCTCGTGAACACTCTCCTTTGGAATTAAAAGCAAACTTATAATAACTGCCATCTGCACAAATAGCTACGGAGAAATCAACAAAAGAAACGGATGATCAAAACAAATTATCAACTGAAAAAAGTAGCAATGTTACCAAACTTGTAAGTCTACTTGAACAAGCAAAATTCCTGCAGCTTCTCACGAGATTGCAACCTGTGACTATCGAAATGCCAGATGAATTTCCAATGCTGGCTGATGTTTAAGTGAATTTGTCCAAGGAGTTCATGACACTTAAAAACCATTCTACTGAGAAGCATCAAGTAACCCAGACCTACATCGTTAGTCATAAATTATTCCATAAGTGGTAACTAAGTTATAAACTATTCCACACATGCAGAGCAATGAGGCTTACAATCCAAACAAGACTGCACAGTGTACATGTACAGTGACAGCCTATCCTAAGTATTTTAAATGTATCTGAAGTTGCGATACATGTATGTCCCTTGCTTTCTATTAAAAAGAACAATGAACATACCTATGACAGTGTTTTTTTCACTTCCAAATGCACAAACACAGTGTGGGTCACCAGGAACTTGAAATCTTGAAAAGCTCCACTTAGAGCTGAAGTATTTTGGAAGAAAGTTGTGGGCTGTGGCAAGACTGACATAAAAAAAGGAAATAATTTAGGAAAAAAATTATGTAATTCAGAACACAGGCAGTGCAGCACATATATCATGTATCCATGAACAGTGATTTCTTATTGCATGGCTTACAGATGTGATTTTAGCTCAGAAGAAAATCAAAAATATATACAACATTATAAATTCATCTTATAACAATTCCAAAGCCATTTCTCTATATAAGCCGCTGGCAAAATTGTTGAGCTCCAATACCATTATACCAGAGCTGTATACACTGTTCATGTAAATGTATATTTTGTAAAATACTAAGCAAAGTAACAGGTGGAGGGAGGATTAGTAACAGGTGGAGAATGTAGAAGATGTGCTGGCTTCCACATCAACAAGTCAAGGCTCAACTCCTAGCCAGGGTCTCAGAATTCATAAGAAAGACAACTGCTCATGAGTATATGGTAAATACAATACTAGCACAGTGAACTGTAAGGGAACCTTACCAAGGGTTCACCTGTCATTTGGTAAACTAATGTATGTGTACCATTCCTCTCAGGAAAAATAGCATTAGCTCTCCTTCCTTCATGCTACAAACCCTGGATAATCTGCAGCAGCTGTGAAAGTCACTTCAATATTTCTACATCCCACTAAAAAACCGAATTGCCAGCCCAGATGGGAACACCTGTATGCCAGGACAACTCTCCAATCCCAAGGGGGGGACCTTAGCTCAGACTGGATTTCCACTTGCATAATGAATTTTATGTATTTATTCTAAATCTATGTGTACTGTGAAGCACATGTACATGCTTAGAGCTAATCTAAAAAATTTACCTTGGAGGGAGAGGACCTTACCTTGACTGTTTATTTTTCTTTGGATCTTCAATGGCAAAGATGTGAACTGTACCATGATCACTTGATACACACAAAAGTTCTGAGTCATGGTTGAAGTTTATACTACAAATAAAACAGACTCTTTGTTATCTACTATTGTTGAAATCATCGAGAAAATGGCACACAAAATAATGCAAAATAATAAACCATAATCATTTCAATTTACTGTCTGAACTAGCCCTTTACACTATGACATAGTTATCCAAATTCTCCACACTCTTAGATTCATAAATTTTCTACATGGTACCGACAAGGAGGATTAGTTAATCAGTCAAAGCTTCTTAGGTTAGCAATCACTCCCTTTATTCTTGTGATCTCCATGAATCACTCAGCAGTATTACTCAAGGGAAAGAAAGAAATGAAAGCTGTCGATATCTTACAACACTACCATTACTTGAATGAAAGTGATCCCTGCACTAATCTGCACTACTTGAGCAGTAGTGAAAATAGGGCCTGAAAAAAATTCAGGCCTGTACAGGATTTGAACCCATGACCTTTGCAACACCAGTACAGCACTCTACCAACTGAGCTAACAAACCAACTGGGAGCTGGTCATTATGTTAGTTCAATTAGCAATCATTCCCTTTATTCTTACCCTTTATTCCCTTTATTCTAACCCCATACAGGCCTGAATTTTTTTCAGGTCTTATTTTCACTACTGCTCAAGTAGTGCACATTACTGCAGGGATCACTTTCATTCACGTCTTTATCTGCAGTTCAAATATATAACTTTCATATATTCTTAGCCGAACACCATTACTGTAAAACACAGAAAACCATGCACACCTGAAATATGTTAGTAATGATTTCTGAGCTATGGCAAATTTTGTTGGAGAACAGGTCACTCCAAACCTCTGGAGCCACACCTGATACCTGCTGCTGCTTACACTAATCTCTATTTGGCATCTTATCATTGATACACAGAGAGTATGAGTGAGATATCAAGTTGAACACAAGAAGAGAAATTCCATATCTACATAAACAAGCAACCATGTGATATTTTGTTTACTATAATAGCACCACAGACCTTAATTGACAGGAAAATTTGACAAAATGATTTGGGGGTTTAGAATGGTGAACATCATTCATCAACCTGACTGAGTGGTGCAAAAGTCAAGTGACATGCCAACAGCTGATTGGCTGAAGTCAACATTGAAGTCACCATATCATAATAAAGATTTCCATCAGGTTGTCATAATGTAAAGTGATTGTCACCACCAACAGTCCTTTTAAGGACTGCCCTCTCAAAGACAATCACATACATAAAAAGCATTATTTCTTCATTTTTACCAGTAAATATTAGCACTTCCTGATCCTCGTCTCAATTCGTGCAGTTGTACTGCATTACTTGTATCAAAAACTCTTATCAGAGTTCCCTGTAGAGAAGATTAAGTAAAAGAAAAAAATTACTTATTAACCAAATTATCCGCTGACTAGCCTTTACCACTGTTTCTTGAAAATCCATTCTGAATCTCAGCACAATAAGCTGTTGTACCTTTATGCATTGACAGTAATCATCAAATTCTCTTTCCAAAATGGGACAGTTCCAAAAAATATACACATACAAGTGAAACCCCCTCATTCCTGCACTTCATACTAATCTTAAAATTACTGACCAGCAGTATGCTGCATGTAATGAGTATCTTGTATTTATTTTTATTGATTAAAAGCAGTTGATTTTGCTGAAGCAGCCAGTGGTTTACACCAGTGTCTACAATATGTAAAAGACAAGCTATGTCAAAGTGAATTTTAAACATTGTTCCCAAAAGAGAGTATATCAAGCTCCTTGCATAACTACTGTAGTTTATGAAACATTTTTGGGATGCAGCTGTGTACGCAATTCAATCAATTTAGTTTGATGCTGATCAAAAAGAGGAATATATAGAGCAATATATGAAAACACAGTTGACACAGAGTAACAAAAAGTTGATCTTTTCAGCACAGTTAATATTACAGGAAAGATATAACACCTTCTCAGAAGCTGTTGCTAGTCTTGTTCCTTGTAAATTCATGGCAATGCAACTCAGTGCAGCCTCATGAGCAGCAATCTCTTGTGGAGCACGTTCTGTGTTGGCCAAGTCAACAATCTGAACATGTCCCATCTTACGTGCAGGAAATGCTAGTAAAGAGTTGTTACTGCTTGGACAAAGGACACACAAACCTACAAGGGAAGAAAAATCCTGAATTTTACTTCAGTAAACCTCATCTAGAAGTACATGTAGTCCTTTGTAGCTAATCAATTATGTATCCAAAAGGAACTCTGACTTCTATTGAGTATTTGCACAAAACCTTGAGCAGCATTAAAAAGGAAAGTATAGAAACTTGGTTCACACATTGAAAAATTAAACTGGTTTGTAAATGACCCCCTTTCTTTCTCTATTGAACTCACTCAATACAACTCAATTCAAAGATAATCTGATAATGGGACACACTTCAAACAAGAGATCACTGCTAAGTAAAATAAAACTTTGTTTTGTAACTAAGGAGCAAGAAAGAATGAAAGGAGAAAAAGAATGACATTCTATCATCCTGAGGTACTGTAACAGGGATTGGCCAAATTTGGTATCACACATGTAAACAAACTGCAAAAGTTTGGACATTGAGTCAACCACCCACTACCTGTGTACAAACTTCAGCTTCAGCATTTTGTTTTAAATAATTTTCCAATGTTGCAAACCACTTCAACACTCAAAATTGACTAGTTTGTTTCATCATATGTTTGATTATTTATAAGGCAAGGTGTTATTTTGTAAGCCCCAAAGTAGATGCAAAGAATGTAACAGGAAGTGTTGTGGCATGGAATAATCAAACCAGTTTGGTGAACAGTGATGTATCTTATCAGGAATTTTGTCAAACTTTCACTTTTTGTTTAAATCAGAAGTCACCTGACAGTACACATAAAAACTAATACTGAAAAGGTGAATTTTCTCATTCAAGTGTGACATTCATACCTTTGGGATTAATTGCTGTCTCAAACACATGAAGTTGTTGAGGATTCTGTGTAAATGTGAAGACTTTGATAAGCTCTGCCAGCACAACTACTATCCTGAGAAACATTACAAAGACAATTTTAGAATACAAATCACGCCAAAAAATTCCATGAACCCTGTGTTCAGATGACATAATCATTTCAGCATGACAAAAAATGGTAATAACAAGTGTTAAGAGAAGGTTTATTAAGAATTTCCGTTCCCCTAAATAATGTTCGTAAAGATAATTGAAAGATTTGGTTGAGGGCTTGACTCTCTAGTGGCATCAACCCACAACCAAATATAACATTTTGTTCCACTAAATAATGTTTGTAAAGATTATTGGCAGGTTTGGGTAAGGGCTTGATTCTCTGGTGGTATCAACCCAAAACCAAATCTAACATGAATATTTAGTGTGATCAAATATAAGCCAACTGATAAGTTCCTGTGTCATTGGTCAGATTACTAAGGTTGATAAATAGCTTTTATGAGCAGCAGCATTCAAAAACCAATAAATTCAATCTAGTGAAGCACATTGTATTATATGAAAATTGGAGTGAGATCACATGTCATGTGGATAAAATTCTGTCAAAGCTCATTAGCAAGCTAACAAATCACTAACCTGTCTCTTCTAAGCTTCACTGCCTTGACATCACTAGAGAAATTCAACTCTATGACACACTTCTTTTTCAAGTCATCCCAAACCATCACTATTAAGTTAAATAAAAACAATAAGTAACTCTTTGTATATTGCATACAAGCATATACATGTATATGCTTAGGGGAAAAGGACATTATTCCATTCATATGTCAGTGTCATAACAAGACAATGCCATGACTGTGCTGTGAGTTACTGTAAATGAAGAAATTGGTACATCTACATTGTACAAATTTAAATGAACACTTAATCACATGGAAAATACATGTACATGAATCATTGTCACAAGAATGTAATTTTGCCCCTTATATGAAATCAAAGTAACCAATTAAGGGATTTTTTTTTCAGATAATTTAACCAGAGGATTAGAGCAATAAGAATTATGATGTCAATAAAATCTTTCACCTTTGTTCTTTGGATACTTTGGATTTTGTCCGCCTCCAACAAGTGCCAGATAATTACATCGAAAAAGCATTTCCACATAGTTGATACCACCATCTGGGAAATCTGAAGTTGATCAATCATAGCACAGTTTATTCAGTAATGGTTCTGCCTGTGCATTATTAGAATGTAATTGATAGTAAAATTTTAAGCAATTTACCAGCTAAACGCTCAAAATTCGCGCTTAAAATTCTGATTCATTGAGTATTTATAATTTCTTAATACATGACTAACAGAGGCTGAACCAGTATTCTTCATACAGTAATGACGTTTATCAGGATGGGATTAAGCTTTTTTTTTTTCGTCTTTTGGCATGACATAAGAATCACACCATGACTATAGAGAATCAGGCCCTATGATTGATCAATTAGAGTGAGCCATAGATTGAAATCATACAAATATATTAAAATGATAAATCAATAAGGTTTCTGTTTCTGGGCTGAAATATGTTTTAGACCTGACTCAGAGTTGTTCTAGCCCAAACCACTAGGCAAGGGTTTAAATGACCAAGAAGGGCCCAAAACATATTTACATGTATAGCCAAGAAAATAAACTGTGTTAATATCACTACAACTTTGGAGGGCATTAAGAAAATTAAAACTGGAAAAAAAAACAGTCTGACAAATCATGACAGCATGCAAGCACCAAACTCTCTATTTCAACCTGCAAAATGCACCACAAAGCCCAACAAAGTGATAGTGATATATACTACAGCACATAAATAATAATGATAGTGATAATAATTTATAGCACCAAAAAAACTAAATGCAATACTGCTGGCATTTTGTGCTGTATTTACATTACTCCTGGAGACCATTGAGAATTCACAGCTCCCACCTGAGGTCAGATTAGTCAGGTTGTATCAAGGTACCTCACAACATTTTTGTTCCCTCACCCTAACCTATTTTTGGCAAACAATTAGTCAGCCAGCATAGTCTTCCTCTGATTGACAGTCTATTGATACCCCAGTGGATACTACTCACAGTCAAAGTGACCCACTGCCCTCAGATGCATTTCTTAGCTTCACCAGTCACTCCCACGAGTGACCAGAAGGAAATTTATAATAATAATACATTTTCAAGTGACAATAAGAAACGAAAATGTTAATTTGGGGAGGTTGTTTTTTAATTTTACACAAAATTCTTTAATCTTGTACTATAAGTAATGTATTAAGTCATTGCCCGTTATAGTACAGTGCAGAGAACTAATATCCTGATCATGGGTGAAGGAGTCAATGACTATGATTTGAAACCGATTACAAAGCAATAATTTTGTATTTGTCAGTCTTCTCCTATAAAACTTTACGAAGAAAATCAGAAAGGCTACTACCGCAAACCAGTGAACATTATTTTAAAGATTCTTTGATATAATTTCGGGAGCTTACAAGTCGGGTTTGACCTCTAACGTGCATATTATGTGGATGAAACTGAAAACATGTCATTCCCACCAAAATTAATGCCACAGGCATGTCATAGACGCTTAGATGTTTACGCTACCTTGACGCTCTTTTTCTTTCAGCGGATCGCAGTTGTATATCCTAAAGCCGTTCTCCATACCACAAGAAAAGCAACCTTTTAAAGGAAGTAAAGATTGAGCTCAGTCTGAGCTGTTTCCGATCCGTCACTCGATAGTATGAATACAAACCTTGGTCTTGATTGAAGCCTGCATACAGCAGCCCATTGCCATATGAATTTGTTTGACTGATATTCATTGTCAAAGATAACAATAACCCATCGAATATTGCATACTTTTAACTACTAAGAAGGTTACACAGGACAACTTGTACCGCCATTTTGAATTAAATAGACCATGCGATATCCTTGTTATGGTTTACTGAAGGTAGCCAATCAAAATTCATGAAAGAATCAAACTTCATTTATCTGCCTTTCTGACTGGCTGCGTTGGCACCCCAGAGTTCATGTCGGTCGTCACTAGTTTCCATCCGTGAAACTGACGTGACGTCATATGATCTCCGACGGGAATCTTCGGTTCAGTGGTTCGGGTTTCGGGTTTCCTTTAGAAAAAACAAATATGGCGGATGTTTCTCTCTTAACCTTTTGCAGATCTTTATGTTTTGCCTTGTACATCAAATAAAACTCTGAGTTACTTTTAATAAAGCTGAGAGCAACTGTTTATATTTTAGTGCGTATACCAGTGTGTATCACCGAATGGTGAATCAACGTCAGTTTGAAAGATGGCATATTCGATCGTAATCTTCCATCCGTGAAAGTGACGTGACATGCTGGGTGATCGTACTCGGCGATGGACGACAATTTGCCGAACATTGCCCTCGGATTTCCAAGCATTTCTTTCCCGCTAAGCTTCGTTCTTTGGCGGGCATTTTCAAATATGTAAATGCAGATTTTCTATTAATGTTCCGCGACCGCTAAATCTGGAAGTTTAGTAAGAACTGTGATAGCCCAGCTAACCCTTTTAGAAATGGCTACGCTAGTAAATGTCGAAGAACGCCACACAGATGATCTTGTACTTTGTACAGCCCCCAGTCGTAATTTTTTTTCGGACAAAATTACCCTGCGAACAGAGTCTCTTCGATCTTCTTACCCGACTGATCTAGGAAGATCGACTCTGCTCGCTGGGTAGGACAAAATGCCCATGATTCCAGCAAAAGCACATGGAGAAAACAAACAAAAAATCCCATTAATTAATAAAATGGGTTTCAAGAATTCAAATTTGGATTCTGGAATTGTGACACTAGTTTCGTGAGACACGATAATTTTAAACAGTTAGTTTTTTTTTTTTTTTAATTTAGGTCAAGGTCACCACCTTCCCAAGTCCGAAAGGTGCGCCCATACGCCTATGTGTGTAGGGGGGGGGAGGTTACTCCCATAGTGGACTATGAATGTTGAGAGGCTGTGCATGAAAGGGTTACCTTTTTCAAGTCAAAAGTAGTAGATGAAAAGATAAGGGTTTGGACCACTGGACAGATCCCCCCCTATATAAAAAATTATTGAGTAGAACCCCCCCTCCCTCTCACTGGGATGTCCAGTAATATCTGCCTAAAAATTACAACTAAGGTTAGCTGATGTTTGTATTGTCATATAGGCTTATTGACTTTATTAAGAACGAATTTCACCTGCTCTGAAAAAAAATGTGTGGGTTCTTGCTGGATTCAACTGTAGCTTACGTGCTTGGGTTAAGCAGGTGAGGGCTATGGATGAATATTAGATAAAGGTGAAGCAGGTAAAAAAAAGAAACAAATTGTGTCATTTAATCTTTGAAATAAAGAACAGAAATGCTTGATAAAATGACCAGTGCATTAAATAAAATACAAACAAAAATTCCTTCTTTGGATGTTGTCACAGATCCCTTTCCCAAGCCAAGAAAAGTTTATTTTAAAGATGACAAAATCCCATTTGATGGAGTGCCCTTCAGTATCATTGGCTCAAAGGTGTTTGACTGCCAACATGGTCCAGACAGAAAAAAGGCATTCAAAGCAAGACAAGCCAATGAGAAGGTATGTTTTTGACAAATTAAAATTCCAAAAAAAATCTATTTCTTCCCCATCTAAGTAACCTTTTGTTTTTGTTTGTTTCTTTTCTTACATTATAATTATTATTTCTTCTTAACTACAGGCTGGCGATCACTCCTTCAAAAAGAAGAGATTTTTACCTCAAGACACCATGAAATTCGGGTGCACTGCAAGTATTCGTCTATCAGAAGTTATTACATATCCAAGTTACAAGGTACTTCAGTCTGTAAACAATGAGATGATGATGATGATGAAGATGATGATGATGATGATGATTATTATTATTATTATTACTATAACTATTGCTGTGTGCTATTGATAGCGATGTTTTCAACATATTTTTAAGTATAGTAACCTCAATACTCATAATTTATTATTAGTCTGTACTAAATTACAAGTAAAAGTTTTGTTAACAATAACTCTTTACAAGTAGATCAGGGATGACACAGAGAGACTTTGACGGGACATGTCCAAAAAGCTAAAGACTGATACCAACAGTGGACAAAAACCTCCATATGAACGTAGAATCTATATCTACCTACCAAAGGAGGATGAACACAAAGACCATATCACTGGCGAGGTTTGTTAAGCACCCGTCCGATGAATGGTCTTACAAGTAAACCTAAGATCATTTTTATAAATTTTTCTGCACTGATAAATGAGACAATGGTGAATTTTAAGCTTGGAAATAAAACTGCTGAACCTAGCAGTATGCATGCAGGATGCATGTTAAATGGGCTGGCTCTCCGGGAGTTCTTGTAGCTCACTGGAAAGAGTTTCTGCCCGACGTTTGGGATGTCATGGGTCAATTTCTGTCAGGGACTCAGCTTTGTTTCTTTGCTTCATGCTTGTGTCATGTTGATGCTATCATCCTTTTCACATTTTTCTGTACTGTCACTTACTTTCTTAATCTACCGTTTTGTCTATTAAACTGTATTTTGATTTTAAGACAGGATCAACAAAATAAACAAGTTCATTCTGATTAATTTGTGCCCATAATTTAAAAGGAAAGTCAGGTCATCATGCAAAGTGTAATAAGTCGATACCAGAAATTGTAATCTAAAGTACCCATGTCAGTAGCAATATACCTCTAATCGGATGCCACTGACATCCTGAGTAGAATAGTTATTACTCTACTCAGGCTCAGTGACAACTATTCCACAATATTGGCTTAACCTCGTGCGGATCATCGACCATTCAGTATTATTATTAATTATACATATTAAATTATATATTTGTATAGTTATTAACATAATTTTTTTCCTTCTTTTTCAACAAATAAGGTTGGTGGTCTTCTGCAACCAATTGACAAACGGCTTGTAGACAAGATTGAAGAGCTTGTTGGTGAAGGTGTTAAAACTGTTGATGAAATGAAAAGACACCTTAAACAGTTTGTGAAATGTGAACTTTTTCCAGGGCAGACTCCACCTCCTATTACAAACAGGCGCTTCTATCCCACAGATGTGGATGTCAGGAACCACATGTATCGGGCATCGGTAAAAAAATTGCTGTCCAAAGTGGATCAGGAAAACCTGCAAAGGAAAATAGAAAATTGGCGTGAGGAGCATCCTGAGGACTCGTTCTATTTTCGACCCAGTGCTCTGTCTACCTCAGCTACTGCCGAAACAGGAAGTGAAACAGATGAGACTTGTGAGCAGACTGAAGAACTCCTCTTTGCACATCAAACAGCCTGGCAGAAACATCTTATGAATCTTTATGGAAATATCCCTCCTTGATGCAACCTACAAGACAATGAGATATGACCTACCATTATTTCTTCTGGTTGTCAAGACAAATGTTAAATACACGGTTGTGGGATGTTTTATAATTCAAAGGGAAACAACAGCTTCCATTCAGGAAGCACTGGAAATCTTTCGAGATTGGAATGAAAGCTGGAAGCCACGATATTTTATGACTGACTTTTGCCAGGAGGAGATTAATGCCATTGAGAGCACATTCCCAGGTAAGAATGTTTCAATAAAATATATGTTAACCTTAGACTTCAATTGATGTGAGTGGCTGATAAGAGCATTTGGTAAAGCATTTGCTTTAATTATACTTGTTGAGTATTATGCTGTTTTGAGGGCTAATCATTGTTACCAACTTGCATGGTGGCAAATAGTTTAGTTGTTTTTCAACTGTATGACTTAAATGATATTGTATGGTTAATATCTACTGTTTAAGTTTTTACATTTTAATAAGCTTACTTGAAGCTTAGTTCTATAAATTTGTGTCAACATAAAAAAGTGTACCTAACAATATTAGTTTGGTCTGTATTTACATGTACCGTAACTAGTAAGCTCATGTTTCCATTAACAGGCTATGACCTTATTTGCATTTTAGGAAAAAAAAAAAGTTTAATCTTGCATTCTCTAAAAAAGAAAATTCAGTAAAGAAATTTTTATGGTAAATTTATAAAAACAAGGATGGTAATTTCTTATAGCATGCCTACCAGCACTTCAGGCAGACAGACCTTAGTACATTTACCGCTAACTCTCGACCAAACTTTCACCTTCATCTAGTCTTATGTCATTTTGATGGATGGCCCATCTCTCCATCGACCAAAACGACGTTTCTTCAGAAATGTGAATAACATTACAAGAGCATTTCCTTGCAAATTCCTAAATGAACAAAATAATACGAAGATTGTTCTTTACAATTGTTATTATGATTAAAGATTATATACTCACCATTCACCGTTCACACCATCTCCTCAATCTCCGTACTCATGGTAATCACCTCAAGCTTTAGTGTCCGCCATATTTGTTTTTACGAATGGGAACCCGATCACTGTGCCGAAGATTCTCGCCGGAGATCATATGACGTCACGTCAGTTTCACAGATGGAAACTAGTGACGACCGTTCATGTCGAGCGACGATAACAAAGATGGCGGCTGAAATACTGTAGTCAACTTACTTTTCCATAATATTTTGGAGTGGCCATGAATCCCGGGAGCAGAAAAATATTCCGAGCTAAACCACCAGACAAGGGTAGCTTTCCTTTGGATCACGACGGTATAGAAAAGTTTCCGACGTATCAAATGTTGTTTCAAACGAAACTTCTTATTAACAAGAATCATTCAGTTTTTCATCAACAAGCTTGAGTTTATGAATGATAATTAACAATTCGCCGAACGCGAACAATTGTTTTAGTATGGTGGCTCAGTTGCTTTCAAATTCTGTTATTGATTTGTTTTGCTGTTGACACTAGAGGATCAATTTTGACTGGCTGCGTCCTCTATCGCATTTATCACTTCCTCTGTAACATTGACAAAATACGAGTTTCTCATTGGCTGGGAAAAAATGCAATTGAGAGCAAAAATTGGTTTGCCAGATTGGTAAATCAATCAATCATAATGTATTTGTCTCTTATAAACCCTTTGCTACCTTATGTAAGTAAAGCATGGAATTGATCTACTTCAAAATTATTGGTTGTTCATCAAATGGATCAAGTCCAAGTTTTCCTTAGTCCGTTGTAGCCCATATTTTAATATGGCTGAATCTGGTCTGTGCCTCATGCACTAGATTAATTACATGAAATGTTGAGCTCAGGAAGTAAGAAGCCTCTCATTCAGCATGTGTAAATGTGCAAATGTCTCACTTTACTGTGAAACAGGTGAATGTAAAGAGTACATGAAGAGATACATGAAGTGCTTGAGGGAGAACAATAATGGGAACCACTTGTGTAGAACAGAGTCCAAGGATTATCTCCAATGTAGAATGGACAGGTACATTTGTTTCCCCATATTCATTCCAGTGAAAAGATCTTTTCCTAAATAGTTTTTGAAAAGGAGAACCAAAAAACAAAATGATCCTCACAGATGAATTGCAATAGAAGAAATTTCAGGAACATTTAGAAGGCTAAAAAAATTTAGGCTTTAATGGGAATCCAAGCCATACCTCCCAGATACCACAGGGGATTCCTAATAACACAGTTAGTATTGGCTGAAACCATTCATTGTATCCAGGCTTCCCTTCACAATATGTGATTGCTACTTGTACATGCAGCTGTGTGAAAATGATTCTGTTGTTGTTATTCTTCTTGGTTAGCTCTGATTTGCTCTTCATTTTCATAGTTTAGCCAGTTTTACTGCAAGGTAGTATTAGATATTTAGATCCACTCAGAGAAGCCTTTTGGAAAAACTAGTTCAATATTGTTCTTTGACAGCTTCAAGCACAAGACGTCTGTGTTTGCTTTATTGCCCCTCCTGTTCCTTTCCCTATAAATTGCTTGCTGCAAAGAGCTTGCTAAGCAGGCTAATCTTTTACAAATGGCCTATTTTGCATAGTTGGTTTTGTGTTTGTACGTGGTAACAAAGTCATATTTTTTTAAATTGACAGACAACTCATGGCAAAGGAGGATTTTGAGAAACTTGGTTTTCATCAGTCTATACAATCACAAGATCACAACATTGATCAGATTGATCATGACAACATACAAAATAGCACAAAGTCCACAAGCTGATAGTAGTTCAAGGACAATATAAAAGTTGATTAACATATTAAAAATACACAACAGTCTGGTGGAACTGGGTTTTTCATTGGTTAATCATCATCAAAAGAACTTTCTCAACAGCCAGGGGGAGTCAGCCCTTGGCAAGGAACACAGGCCTAAGGGGAGGACTGACTCACTCCAATGACTTCAATGATCACACTACTGAAGATGTTAAGCAGTCAGTCACTTTCACCACCAACAGTCATTTTCAGGACCACTCCCCATCCAGACAATTAGACCACACCCTCTATCTGATAAACAATATAATAGAAGTGAACATTTAATATACAATAACATAGTAGGACTCAAGTAAAAGCTGTAGAATAGTAGAATGAGAATGTTTTCACCTACAAGAATAAAAAGGCAACAAGGACTATTTTGTATTTACTATGCTGGAGCATTTCTGATGTGGTGCAAAAAATAAACTAAGAATCGTGAAAATTGCACAAGCCTGTAGGGAAAGTGCAATTTGTGGTCTTTGAAAAAATTTACTAGAGCTTTTTTATTCCAAATTGCATGGAAAAAATTATGTGATTATGTTTCAAGTGCAAAAATAATTTTTTCAAACCCTGCCTGTGACATTGTGCATTCACTCAAAACAACTGCATATGATCAAAACAATAACATAAAATGATTTTTTCACATCTTTAAGGCACAAAAAATTCAAAGTCCAGCTAAACAGTTCAAGGAATTGTTCAGTTTGGTTTGTTACTTCTCTGCACCAAATTAACCCTCTTTTGCTTTGAATTACCTGAAAACTGCATTTATCTTAACCAGTCAGAACTGAGTAATTTTTTTCATGTATCTCATTAAAAATGTTATTTAATTGATGTATTTAATCCTAAAGCTTGACTTACATGTCTGATTATGTTAACGGATTCCTTACATACTGTATTTCCTCAAATAAGCACCCCTCTCTCTCAAGTTAGTAGGGATACTGTTGAAAAAAACCTGTTTCAATGACCAATTTATTTATAATTTTTTTACCTTCAACTACAACGTAACCAGTCTAAGAGAATAGTTTATTTTCTCCACGTGCTTACAGAGTTCCTTTGAGTGCATTATCTATTCTTTTGTTTTTTTGTGTGTGATTTTGCGCTCTGAGTAAATGCAGTTAACTTCCCAAGCACAACTAGACCATTCTCTATCCTTTGGTGACCAGTAATTTCTACAGTAATAAAGTTAATGAGATGCGTTTGAAGAAAACAGTTGATAATGAGTTACAGCTCAATCGAAATGTGCCCAGCAAGCTCAAAGCTGTCAGCGCCATGCATAAGCCTCACTTTTTAAATTCCAATTGCATTGTCCGGTTATACTTCTTTGCTTACTCCATGTCGCTTTTTTAAGCAAATATATATTTCCCTTGTGTAAACAGACGAAAGGTATTAAAAATGTTGAATCAACGTCTTCGTGGATAATGTTTTAGTTTCTGTTTTTCTATTTACGATTTAACCAGAGTAAAGTTGCAGTTCGTTTAAAGGAAAACTCGATAAAATTTTAATTAAGCGCCTAGATGCTTATTCAAGGAAATACGGTAGACCCCAAACAAAATAGACCTTGCATTTCGATGGAGTGCCGTAAAACCGGAAGTAGAGTCACAGCGATCCATTAGAGTGAATGAGAAGGTCCCAAGGAATCACTATATTCAGAGTAGAAACAAGCCAACTGACTGAAGCAGAGGAAATCGCGGAATGACCAAGTTAACATTGTTGTCAGTTTGGCAGCATCTGATTAGTTGAGAGGGTGGCCCAAGTTTTCTAAACTTATCACGAAGCGAAGTAAAGCATATAATTAAGTAAGTGAGTAAGTAAAACCTTTATTTAAGTGTCAATGTCTTTAGCCTAGATGGACTAATTGGGAACACCAACAAAATAGTAATACTAATTAACATATGATACTTATATTATGTGGTATTACATTATACTTATATGTATGGTACTAATTAACATATGGTGCTTATTCTAGTGGTTACAAAGATTACAGCAATTGCTGTCGTTGGTTAAAATGTCTGTAAGATCCAATTTTCTTATCTTTTTAATAAAAACGGGTAAACTGGGGGAATTCCTCTGATTTACGGTAAGTTTTGACCATAAGAATGCCCCAAGATATCTAAAAGAGTGTTCGCCGTAGCTTGTAGTTCTAAAACGTGGTAATACGAAGTCACTATTCCGCAGCGAGTGTGTAGAACTTTTGCAGACAAATATATCGGAAAAGCAATAAGGTACGAGACCATGTTTAACTTTGTACATAGGTGTAGTGATATTTTGAAGCCGTCTGTTATATAAAGAAGGTATATCAGCACGTCGTAAAAGTTCTTCATATGTGTCAGAGTGGGATTTATATATCATCCTTAGGGCTCTTTCTTGTATTCCTTCTAGCTTCCTTTTGTGGGATGACTTGCAAAAATGCCAAATCAAATGGCAGTAAGTTAAATAGGGAAGTATAACAGATTTATACAGTAGTGGCTTAACCTTGCAGGGTACTAAGTTTTGAAGACAAGAGAGTACTCCGACTTTCTGGCTTGCCTTAGTACATAATTTGCTAATATGCTCAGTAAAATTGAGATTATCATCTACGTGAACTCCTAATAATTTGATCAGTTCCGTGTTCGCAATGTCCAGATCGTTTATAATCAGCATCTTGTCTCTCTTGTCCTTTTCGAGTTTTCACGGATTAATGTTTAGAGACTGAAACTTGTCTGGAAAAACAAAACCATCATAAACCCCCCTTGGTCTCGTCGTGCAACGTTCTCTCCCCCACCTAATTTAAATTTACAGACTATCCGTTGGTGATCGGCCGAAAACTTGGTTACCTGACAAGAAACGAGCTGTGACTAGAGAAGAAGTCTTAGCGCGGCTAGATCAAAAAAATATTAGCCGCAACCTTATTAACTACACTTGGGAAAGGAATGTGCATCTGGTTTAAGAAGCCGTCGGTCGGGAAAAGAACGTTGCGCGACGAGACCAAACGACGGCTCCGAAGGAGAGTACCACAAGGACAAATTCTAAGCACTCTTCTTACCCTGAGAATAAGGAAATTATTACATCTTGGGTGACGTTGATAGAGTCTTGATGAATAATTGAAAAATGTAAGTACTACTCTCGGTTACGAGCACTGGTTATTATTGAGTGACGAGTTGTACTTTGTCAGGCTCTTGTTTTATTATCAAAGAGCCATCTCTTAGGAGCCTGCCAGCACCAATCTAAGAAACGAATGGGTCGACAATCTCTTATCTTTTTCCACCATCCTGCGCACTGGATCTTGTACTTGATTTCGCCCAGGACATCCAGCCAGAAGTCGAACCAGATCAGCCGCATGAAGAGGATGAGCAGTAAATGTATTGGAGAGAAAGTCCCAGACATCTGGTACCGCAGGTGCTGTAACGCCTTCTCTCGGTATTCTGGCTGATTTAAGCGAAATGAACAGCTATCGTATGGGGCGCATATCGCCGTTATTGCTTGACGCGGATTTCTTTTGAACATTGTCCAGAAATCAGGGAATATTCCGCATAACCTAGCGATGTCATCTCCGTAAGTGTAGGCTTCCACCAAGGTAGAAAGTCTACGGGAGGAATCTTTAAAGTAGTCGTCCCAAAATAACTTGTCTTTCACAGCTATTCTCTGCCTTTCATCTCGGGAAGGAAGCTCACACAGTCCCGAGAAAACTTTCGCGCTAAAAAACGATTGAATCTCAGCCAAAGTGATCAATGATCCGAGCACTGGCCGAACATATCCGATGAAAGCCAATGTCGGGTCCTCGACGTTGAACAGATACTTGTAGTTGTGGGTGAGAGGAACCGTCTTTATTTCCGCGGGGAGCATGGGAAATTCTGCCTTGTAACCTGTGCACTGAATGATAATATCAACCTCTTCTTCTGTGCCGTCACAGAAATGTACTTCGTTACCCTTCACGCTCTCAATTGCGCCTTTTGGAATACAACGGTTGTAGTCAACCATATCAAGCACATGACCATTTTTGTTGACGAAACACTGAAAAAATTTGGTGTCATTTTTCCACTCGGATATACCATGACCTTGATAGGCGAGTAGTGAACCGTTTGACGTCCACTTACATACCCACGCTAGCCCTGCAAGGGAAGGAGAACTAACATTATTGTGAGCCAAATAGTGGGACGAACCGACTAAAAAACGATCACCTGAAACATCTCCGATAATTTTGAGGAGTTAAGATAACATTACGTTGTGTTTTTCAATGGTCACTAGAGCGACAGGGAGGATACCCCTCCAGAAAATAGGGACAAGGAAAGAGGAGAAAGCGAGAAAAAGAAAGGTGAAGGAAGATCAAACAAAATACAAGAAGTAAATCTTTTAACACTGATATATAATCAAATAACAAATTCACATTAATCCTACGTTATTATAGTCGTGCTATCAGCAAAATGACCCATGAAAAGAAATAAATGCACAAACTTTGATCTCTGTAAACTCAAGAAAGAAAATCTAAACTCAACAAGATGACATATTAGTTACTGGGATTACCTGGTTTTCCCTTTGTGAAAGGAGCGACGAATTTCATCGCACGAGATGAAGCCTTGTCCAGGACTTGGGGCTGTCGGTTCGGCAGAATCTTTGCAAACTTACGGAAGAAATGCATTCCACGTGGTATACTCCAAATAAGGCGATCTACGTTGTCACACCATTCTTCAACCACGTCACTGGCAGTCTCGCCTCCACCAATTACCATCACTCGTTTGCCTTTATGCTCAGGGACAAATGACTTGAGCTCAGAGCTGTGGTAGATTTTGCCAGCGAAATCTTTAAGGAGAGTCTGTTCCAGAACTCGATTAGGCTTCTGTACACAGCCTGTGCAAATTATCAAGAATTTGCTGGTGAACACGCTGCCGTTCTCGCATTCAACTCGCCACAGGTTGTCTCTCTTCTCTACTGACTTCACTCCGTGATCCAGTCGAATGTGAGGCCACAACTTAAACTCGTCACAGTAGGATTTCAAGTAGGCGAAGATGTCTGCGTGCTTGGGAAAGCATCCAATCTCCTCCGGCATTGGAAAATCTGACATTTCTGTCACGGATGATGATGAAGTCGTTCTTGTAGTCTGCATGACTGTGACAATGTTAGGGTCCTCTGAGAAACACCACAACCCACCTACCTCTGAACGTTTCTCTAACGTGGCAACAGTCAGTCCAAACTCCAGCATGTACTTACACGCCATTAACCCTGACCAACCAGCCCCAATGACGGTCACATCGTGAAAAATTGACTCAGATTCAGACATAATGATGATTTTGCTCTGCTAAAGTAAAGGGAAAATTTCTAAGTGACTACTTCGGTTTGGATTGGCAAACTCTTAGAGTGTCCTGTTACAATACAGGCTGAGTGGGAGGACCAGACAGAAAATATTAGGCGCGAGGTCTTTACTCAAAGAGCGAGCGCAACGATGTTCTTGCGTAATGACCGAGGGCCAAACATTTTCCCGTTGGTTCCTCCCTATCAGTCGATAAGTATTTCTACATACGGCCACTTACTCATAAAAATATTGAAATTACTTTGAACCTGATTAGGGTGCGATTACTCATTTAAGCCTAACGCGCGATGGGCAACTATAAAAAAGGTCCCATGAGAGAAAAACTTCATTCTTTTTTTTTTCGAAAACTAGACGCTCACAACTGATCGAAATCACGACTTGTTTTCTCGATTCGAAGGCTGAGGAGAGGAAGTATGTTTCCAATGTCTTAAGAGCGAATGGCTATGCAAAACCTTTTCTCCGCAACTGCTAAAAACCAGATATAACGCGTAGCACTCCTGATGAAAGGGAACCAGCGACTGGTTTTGCTGTTATTCCTTACATTCGGGGTGTTACGGAAGCCATCAAGAGAATTTTGAATAGCCACAACGTTAAAGTTGCTCAAAAACCTTTTCAGACTTTTGGGCATATTTCTGCCAAACCTAAGGATCCTGTCTCGAAAGAACAACGAACCGACGCCATTTATTCTATTCCTTGCAATGACTGTGAGAACGAAAGCATCGGACAGACCAAACGTCAGTTTGGTACACGTTTGAAAGAGCATCAAAAAGTGGTTTTCTCTTGCAATAAAGAAAATTCAGCTTCATCGGAGCACACATGCCTAACTAACCATACAATTGGATGGGACAAGTCTAAAATTATCACCACTAATCGGCGTTACCACCAGCGCCTTTGTTTGGAAGCTTGGCATATTAACTCCGCCCACGCTCCTTTAAATCGTGACGATGACGGCTTACTTCCTGACGTCTATTTACATCTCGTCGCAAAAAAGGCAGCTAATTAGTGATCGTATAAAGGACCTCTTGTTGCAGCGTTTAGATCACCTCTGATGAAGGCACTAGACAGGAGTGTCGAAACGTTGGGTCTATGAATTGTAACTTCTTCGGTTACATTCATTAAATCTGTAAACCAGAGTAGCATCAAACCATGTCTTCTTGTTTTCCCATGTTTTTCATCTTATAAGTTAACTTCCCCACTTATAATTCACGTTTTTACAAAATGCAACAGAGTCATACGAGTGCGGGATCGGAAGATTTTTTTCCGGAGCGGCTCACTTCAACCCGTCTGGTTATACGCACGTGAGCTTTTTTTAAGGTGTAGTATACGATTGCGTCAGCGGGGTTGAGTGGGTCAAAGAAATAATAGAGCTTTGGCAGGTTTCTGTTCCAGAATTTTTAGATAACTTTTTCTCTCAATTAGAAAAGTACGTCTCCACCAATCTAGCTAGGCAGACATGAAGTGCACATGAAGATTGCTTTAATAAGTGCCTTCTTACTAAAAGAAACCAATTACATCTGCCAGCCGTGGTACTGTATCAGAAAATATAATGTGCCGCGCATATTGACTGTTTCAACAAAGGAAATTTTTTTCTCTGACGTTAAATTAGCAAAAATAATTAACCAGGATAAAAAAGCTGCTCTGTTTGCTTAAGGTTGAACGTATGTAAACTCGCATTTAGCTGACGGTGTCTGTCAAAAATTTGTAAGGTAATTTGTATGAATACCGGTAAGGTAATAGGCATCATAAAACCAAAATTTGTTAAGACGAGCAAGCTATGGTGCAGGTCATTCAGAGAAGCCGGAATTTCAAATATTCTTCCTTATACTGAATACACATTATAGGTGATGAGGTCTAAAAGCTTCATCACAGATGTTACAATGGACTGGATAAAATGAGACCACGGTTCTCCTCCAGGCCTGCGTTTGCATTTGAACTTAGCAATACCAACGTTGTTTCCAAGGGCGACAGTAGAGAAGCGATGAGAACCGAAACATCACATTACACAGGGCTCAGAATAAAGATGTCGTAAGACAAATACATTCATTAAAATTGCTTCAGTTTAGTTCCCTGCCTTCAAATTCAACGGATTAATTGGGTAAGCGCGTGGTCGCCAAAATTTTGCATTTTCTCTTGCAGGAAAATAAACAGAATTAATATGGATGTTTTCCATGTCTCGTACTAGCTAAACATCTTCTAAACAGAAGTCCACAGCTCTCCTTGGAGATGGTGCATCACTTTAGTAGTCAATCAATTTTGCGGTGCATGCTAACTTGTCCAAGTTGAACTTTCCGTTTGCAATTTTTCCTTAAATTTCAGAATTGCAGAAGCACTCAACTGTGACTTAAAAACATTCTTGGTTTGCAAAGGTCAAGACCGAAAAAAGATATATAGACAACGATCGGCCATTTTACTCCTCGAATGCCTAACTTCCTCGATCACTGAATAGCTTACACCGTCGTACACAGTGACGACACATGTTATATGTGTGCCCGGTGAAAAAACAAACTTACTATAGAGACTGTGAAGCAAACCTCCTGCTAGTAATGTGATCTTGCTTGATTTAGCATTCAAAACGATCTGTCTGCAACGTGAAATAGTTTCCTTGTGACCACGACTTTAGCAACTAACACACTCAACTCACTTTGCATAATGTTGACAACTTGCAACCCTACTGACGATGAAGAAAATTTGCTTCCAGAACTATACCCATGAGTATCATGACCAATTCAGACTTTTCGCTGTAGACTCCCTCAGTAACCTAGCCCGGTTAACAGCGAGTGCATCATTAGTCATATGTGCAAACTAACTTACTGTTCGAACCTCTTGACGGTATTTAGCACCCGGGTCTTTGTATGGTGAGCGTACGCTCACCAAAACTTCTAATTCAGCCATGATTCAAAACTAGATGCAATCTATGGCCTCAATTAATGTTATGGGCCGTTTTTATTTTTTGAGCGGGCGTACAGCTTCAGGCTCATTCTTGAATTGCCGTACTATTCTTTTTTAATATTTCACCGTATCTTAAAAATGCGATTTTACATTTCCAACGCGTATCAAAGTGATGTTTAGGTTAGATAATTGAGCTCCAGCCAAGAACTGCTTCCCCTTTAAAACCAAGAACTGCTTCCCCTTTAAAAGAACCCCAACCTCTATTCCTGGTATCATAAGGGATATCATTCACCTAATGCTAGGAAGAAAAACAATGCGTAAATTCGTATTCTACCTTTTACGACCCCATAAGCCCTCAGAGTCGACCCTTCTTCATATTTGTTTACTTTTAAACAGAAGCTTTTTGTTTTTTTTTTTGTTTTTTTTTTGCGTGTGTGTGTGTGTGCAAAATTGTTGTCAAACCTTCTTGGTAATGACCATTCAGAGAAGAGCTACAACAATCCGTCTCTTTAAATACATTTTCACCCATTTTGAAACCATAGTTGGAAAGTTAGCAAGCGTGTTACGTCAACGCAAAAAGAATGTGTTGGATCTTGAAATTTTCCTACCCACTTCTCGCGCTTATTCTTTACCCATTCCCAATATTGAACACATGTTTAAGAGTGACAAAATCATTGCAGGCCTTGCTGTTTGCGTTACAATTCAAATATCAAATGCTGATATCTGCAAATAGTAAAATAAATCATTACACCTGACAAAGTAATACTGGCATGCGTTATTACCTATCCGACAAAACTTGGCAAGTTCCGTCAGCCCATACAGATTACCCCTAATACCAAAGCAAAACATATTCCATAATTCATACTGAAACATAAGACCCGGAAGGTAGCCATAAACATGAAATATAGCTTTGGCTCGTCTCTACAGAATCGATTACATTGTATGCAGCATTACTTTGTGATCTACACTTACTGTTGATCGATTGATCTGAATATATTTAATTTGAGATTAGATGATAGGCTCGATGATAGTGCTTTCTGTTGCATAACTCGTGACTAATAGCTTTAGTTCACTCGAGTTACTTTTTCTCTGCCGATCTATTCGCCTTTTTTCAAAGATTCAATCTATTTGAGATTAATTAAACTGTCAAATTAAGCCCTTATTTTATCAAATTTCAGTAATTATGAAATGTTATCGAGGAAGAGAGTTGTTCATGCTGATGTGATTTACGTTGTGTCTATATTATTGTCCTTAGAATTTTCGTTCTACAGAAAAAGTGATAGGGTTATAAACAGATCTTGATCTTAAATATAGTTAGAACTGCCTTACCTTGCAAATAATTTTTGGAAGAAATATCTTTGTGTGAAGATGGACTTTGACGAAGTTTGACGTCAATGTTGGTCACAAATGACTTTCGGCCAGCTTTGTGTGTTCTTTAAAGCTCTTTCCATGATCTGCGTTTCGACATGTTCCTTCCACTCATCTTGCGGTACGCTATTCAATGGTTTCTTCCTTCCTGATCGTGCCTGCCTTGGTTTTTTCCTTCTTTTCTAGTAAGCGCTCTTTCCATGTGGAATCACATGCTCCGCTTTTTGTTCGAAAAATCTGCTCAGTTAAGGGACTGAAATAATCAAATAAACTGATCCTTTAGTTTGATAAATCAAGTCAGCTGTTCAACAAAGGTCATCTCTCTGAGGGTCTCATGAATCTTAACTATCACTCATCACCCTGCTTCTTCGCTTTCGGCGTGTACGTCATAAGTGTGTGCTGGCGGTCAGCCGTTTCAGCTGAATCGACAAGACAATCAAACATATAATCCTGAGAAGAAAGTAACGAAATGAATTAAAACGAAATAATGAACTGAGAACTGTGAGACAATTTCAAAAATTTTAATAATCATAGTAACATTTAGGTAGTGCCCACTAGATAATGACGTTTGTCAATTTCAGTAATCGACACGATAGTTTTTTTGAGATGGAACTGTTGTAAGACAATCAGACCTTCTTGGGAACGGACTGAAGACTGTTCCCTATGATGGACTGATACAGTTAAGCAGGATCATATGGTCGGTTTTGGCCTACGAAACATCTCATCAAAGAAAGCTCTTTCAAGAATGTAATTTGTGGATTACTCTGATGACATAAGTAATGTCAAGTCGGCTTACATAGATGAAAATTGATATCATAAACCAAAACCCCGTATCGTGATACATAATAACATAGAATGATAGCTTAATAACAAGGATATTTGTAAATGCGATGTTAATCTTGTAACTGTCGGTCGTTTTCCTGTAGCCTAGGCAAGTACGCCTCAGAAAAGCCGTCGCGGGACGATCATTTAACAGCCCCCCTTTAACAAATCCTGGCTACGCTGCTGTCTAAAAGTTTAAAAGCACTCGAAATATACAACACGAGGGAAGTTTTCGTAAGTAAGCACCCTAATAATATAAATGTTTTCAGTTAAGGTTCGTAAATTGTTAGACTCTTGCTTTATTATCAAAGAGCCATCTTTTAGGAGCCTGCCAGCACCAATCTAAGAAACGTATGGGTTTTAAATCTCTGATCTTTTTCCACTATCTCGCGCATTGAATCTTGTACTGGATCTCGCCCAGGACATCCAACCAGAAGTCGAACCAGATCATAGTTAGTTAACTATGACCAGATGCAGCCGCATGAAGAGGCGCATGAAGAGGATGAGCAGTAAATGTAATGGAGAGAATGTCCCGGACATCTGGTACCGCAAGTGCTGTAACGTCTTCTGTTGGTATTCTGGCTGACTTAATCGAAGTGAACTGCCATCGTAGGGAGCAAAAATCGCGGTCATAACTCCACAGGGATTTGTTTTGAGCATCCTCCAAAAATTAGGAAATATTCCGCATAACCTGGCCTTGTTGGACGGTTGGATGTGTCTTCGGTAGACTGGGTCGATTGAGTTTTATCGCAAGTACTTGATATTTCAACTCTAACGATCGAGTTTTATCATTAGCGATTGATACTTTAGTACTAATGATTGAGTTTTATCATTAGCGATTGAAATTTTAGCACTAACGATTGAGTTTTATCACGAGCGATTGATATTTTTTAGCACTAACGACTGAGTTTTATCACGAGTGATTGATATTTTAGCACTAACAATTGAGTTTTAGCACGAGCGATTGATATTTTAGCACTAACAATTGAGTTTTAGCACTGGCGATTGATATTTTAGCACTAACGATTGGGTTTTATCACGAGCGATTGATATTTTAGCACTAACGATTGAGTTTTATCACAAGCGATTGATATTTTAGCACTACCGATTGAGTTTTTTCACAAGCAATTGATATTTTAGCACTAACAATTGAGTTTTAGCACTGGCGATTGATATTTTAGCACTAACGATTGGGTTTTATCACGAGCGATTGATATTTTAGCACTAACGATTGGGTTTTATCACAAGCGATTGATATTTTAGCACTAACGATTGAGTTTTATCACAAGCAATTGATATTTTAGCACTAACGATTGAGTTTTATCACGAGCGATTGATATTTTAGCACTAACAATTGAGTTTTAGCACTAGCGATTGATATTTTAGCACTAACGATTGAGTTTATCACTAGCGATTGACGTTTTTGGCACAAATGGATCCCCATAACAAATTACCTTAAAAATACTACTTCTCTTTTCGCTTTAAAGATCGATTAGCAATTCCCCCTTCTAGTTGCCCTACATTCCCTTGAAAATTGAAAATTTGGTCTAAAATCAAGATAACGATATGACTGACGAGTTTGAACATTCTTATCTCTATTTTCTAAATGTAAACCACAGTTGAGAGCAGAAATTGGGTGAAGGGGGGGCTTGAGGGGGTTGAGGTTATAGCAGAACGACCTTTTTCTTTAACTCAAGCTAGCTTCTCCCGCTTGTTAACCCCCCTGGGCTACTTTGTAAAGACTGACGCCTAAGTATGCCTTTATGAATTTCACTGCAAAATACAAGCACACGTTGACACAGATGACAAATACATCTTCAAGCAGATAATCTGTTTACTGAGAACGAACATGTGACCTCAAATGTCCCCGTATATTACTAGCATTGAATTGAAAACCAAGAATTCCAAGAATTAACTTTCTCACTTCAAAGAACGGTAAAATAAACAATAGAGTAAAGTGACAAATGAACACCTTAGTTCAGAGGCACGATGCCTCCCTTAGTTAGAGTAACATTAAGAAAAATTAAACAATCCAGTTTGTCTATTCAGACACTAAACATTTATACTTTCTCTTACTATGTTTGGTCCATGATGAAAACGAGTCAAGTCACAAGAAGCCAGCAGCTTATTCAAACCAACCCCCTTTCTTAGTAAGAAAAAAGGGACGGTAAGAGAAAGGAGGAGAAGGGCCAAATAAAATTAGTTTGAAAAAATTGAGTAACAACATAAAGAAGATATGACCGTGTTGGTCTCCAAATTTGCACAATGTTAAGGTTGCAAATCTCTTCTTTCAGTTCTTTTCCTCTCCATCTGCAAACGAAAAGAGATTATTAATGCGAAAGGGTAATTAATATACAATCTTCGCCAGTCCATTCAGAAGACGTCCTTCCACAGACCTTCCGACGAAGATAACATCATTTAAGCAGAAAAAGTGTCCGCTATAGGTGAAATGCACTTAAAAGAAAAAAACAGCAGGAGTTTGTTTGGTTTTCAGGTGACTAAAGGTCATCTATTTTTTTCAATCTCAAGGCTAATAACATCTTATGTTTATGGAAAATAACCACCTATAACGTGCCAAATAATTTAGCATCTCAAACGGAATATTCAACGCACCTTTATCGTCGTCCTCCTCTTCCTCCTCGTCGTCGTCCTCTTCGTCGCTTGATTCAAACGTATTATCAGGAATGTCGTATATTCTCACCACACCCTTAAAATTCAAGGAGGAACATAATCAGCAATGCAAAATACAATGTAATGCAGGTTCGAGGTGACGGGGGTATGGAGATATCCACAGTAACGCTCTTGTGATAGACTGACACAAGCAAGGATCAACGCCCAGGCGTTGAGAACTTGGTGATTTCGGGGCTTCGACTACGACTTTGAATACCCCTTTGAAGAAGACTTCCACTACGATTTCGACTAAATTCCTATTTTGTTCTTATATGCGACCCCCTGATCTGACCAAGCCTGCTAAAGCTAATGGCAACACTTTAACTTGCAACAATTCCCTCAGTTGGCACAATTACCAGGCTGAAAGATTTTTTTTTAATTTCAATGTTTGTTTCATAGAGGAAGGCCAAACGATCAACTCAGTTGGAAAAGTCTTCTGTTGGTAGCTAAGTTGAAGTGCGAATATAAGATAACTGAAGAAACAGAAAAAAAAAGATAAATGGATGAAACAGCACTACAAGACCTGTTTCTGGATTCGATATCAAACCATGTCTGAAAACTGTCATGGATAGCGAAAGGATCCAGAATTGATTTGCCTCGAATTTATGATCACCACAACTGAATAACCGTTTGTGACGTGTACCATCCGAGGAATAACATAAGAACAGGCTATATATGGTAAAGACGTTAACTTCACCAGCGTGGATTCTGCCTGCATTTTAATAATACAGTAGCACTGTACAATGATGGACATGAATTTACCTTTAGGGGGTCTTTTAGTATGAGGTACTTTCCGTCATTTAATTTCATGCAGGTGTCAATGATACATCTCAGTATTCCCCAGGCATTATCCATGTTCAAGGCTATCTGAGTTGCAAACTCCTTAGGACGGAATTGTTGTGTACCAAGGATCGAATGCTTTGAAGAATCCATGAAATTCACGCGAGACACATACCTGATAGGACAGGAAAGAGAATTTTAAAAAGTACTCGGTTAAATTGTTAAAGCTACCTCGCAAAATTCGTAACACTCTGAATAACAGACCAACAATGATCTGGGAGATCGTGGGGTGCAGAAAACAGTCTTCAAAAGCACTGCTATTGGTTATAATGAATAACTTTGGAAAAATCTCAGCTGGAGTCATCATGTGACTAAGAGTAAACAGAAGAATTGATTGCCTTAAAAAGAAGATCTTAATTTTTGACACTGAATGATCAGCTATGGCATGCTGTTAACATTAGTTGTGCACAATATGAGGATGAAGACATAGAATTTACTTATTATTAGGATGAACGTTACTCCTGGGCTCAAACCATTTAGAGTGAAACAGTTAGCAAACATTCAGATAAACTAGGACCTTTAACTTGGGCTCAATAACCAGCGGCTGTTCAGGATATGAGAAAAAGCTTCTCCTCTTATGAGGGAGGAGTAAAGAATGAAATTAAGAGGGTCTCCAAAGCCTCTTTTAACCCCCTCACCCTTTGACAAGATTCTTGCAAGTATTTCTCCCCCCCCCCTCCCCAAATAAAAGAAACTTGAAAATATAAACTTCCAGACTGAAATGAACAAACTATTTAGCATAATACATAGTTGAATCAATTTACCTTACATAAAATGAAAAATGTCTTCATGTACATGTACCAAGATCAGTGGTAAACTCTGTTTCTGTCACTGGTGAGTTCATTATTGCTTTCCAGGTGACTTATTGATTTATGGTGGGGTTATCATAATCATAAGGGTTAATGATTCCCTCAATAAAGCAACATTAGGGATTGAAGAAAATAATTAATAAGAAGAATATGCAGGCACCAAGTAACTCAAACCCTGTTTAAGACCTGGTTGAGTCTGATTTCTCAATAAACATTCACTATACAAACAAACAATTATCCCTGTTGCTTACAGTTAAGGCTTTGTCTTACCCTAGTTTGAGATATTCTGATCCAGCTAGTATGGAACTAGCAGTCCACTTTGCCAATTTGCAGCTGTTGTTTCTTAATGCTGTCGCTAGTACAGCACCACGCTGAGAATCCAGCTTCTGACGCCAATCTACACCAATAGCCTGCCAATTTTAAATCATTGCTCAGTCAGTAGTACAATTTGACACTATTCAGAGAAAATATCAACAAAACAACAGAACAACAATAACAGAACAATCAGTGATAAACTTATGAGATTTTGATGATAAAGATGACTTTAAATCACAGCTTGCTAACTTGAACTGAGAAATATATAATACACAGAGTACAATGTAATTCAATAACAATGAAAGAATCTAACCCATGGAATAGTTTTGGTATATCTACAAGAAAACTACTAGTGATTATGTTTATGTCACTAGTACATGTAGAAATTAGTGTTATCACACTGCAATGCAAAGAAAAAGGATATAATTCTAAGTAACCTAACTTTGAGGTTTCTTCTCCATTCTCAGTAAAAATTAACTGAAAAATTATCCCATAATGATAATAATCAGTGAATTGATGTTAATGGATAATAAAAGCACATCAACATCAATTAATATTGATAATCAATGATCATCTATTTATATATTTATTGTGAGTAATTATGGTTATCCATTGCCAAACATTGATGAAATATTGGTGTCAGTGGCCTAAGTGGTCTTTGAGGAGTTGCATGATAAGTTTTCTGTTATGTTTGCTTTCCATACTCAGTGCCTAAGAGATTTTTTCTTAAGTTGAAAAAGATGAGTATTAGGAGGTGAGGTAACCTGCCTAGCCGTGGTCAAAAGACAAAACGCATTTACATGCAATCATACAACCCTGGGGTGTTGAGGTTGTTGTTGCGTTTGCAATTAAGGAATTTGCGGAAAGGCATCCCAAGTTCACATCTCGAAAAAGATGAAAGATTAATTCTTAGACACATGTGTATTTATTCATGAAAGCATCAAGCATTGTTACGCGGTGTTTGGTTTCACGAGGAACCATTGACTTAATACATTATATGGAATAGTTTGGGAAACCAAAATTTAATATGGTCAATTTACAATGCTAAATATTCCAAAATGTGAACACTTTATACTCCTTGTGTGTCCGTTGTGGTTTCTGGTGATTTCTGCTATGAGATGGCTAAGAAATGTACTAAGTTTTAAAACAAACATGTTTCGCTTTTGAGCTTTTTGCCATGAACATAACCCCAGCTAAGCGGTTACCCCACCTTGACATGTTTACATGGCAAATTGTCATCCCAGCTAACAGGGTTACCCTACTTGGCAGACCGGGCAACCTGCCTAGGCAGGTCACCCCAACTATCATGTAAACATTATCAAAATAAAATAAGAAATTATACAGACAGGCAGGTTACTCCACCTAGGTGGGTTACCTTACCTAACTGGGGTCCCCCACCTCCATGTGAACAAACGCTTAGTCAATGTTTTGAACAAAATTAAGTCTTTACCAGATAATCAGCCAATTACAGGTCTGTTTTTGATTGCTCATTGATTAAAGTTCACAAACTACTCTTACATCATTAAATGCTACCTTAACAACAATGATTACATCTCCTTACGAATTCTTCACTTAATTAAGTGAATTGTGCTACAGGGTAGGTACAGGTGCAGTTATTAACCACTAACCCTTGGATCCCATTCATTCAATGTCTTGATATTGATGTATGCTTCTTCTCCATTTGGTCCCAGCATTACAGCATCATGTTCACATCTCACAATCAGCTCAATTCCATCGCCCAGGTTCCATTTGCGATACCTGAGTGACCAGAACATAATTTATCCTTACAATGAGAATACAATATCAAGCAGAGAAGAGGTGGAAATAAAGAAAAATACCAATAAGTCAGGGGATTGATGGTGACTCCAATAACAAATTCTCAAAAATAACATGAAAAGAATGTATGACAGACAGTAAGGAGAACTACTGGTGAAAGGGTTGATTTCAAGAAGCAAAATCAAATAAATGTTCGATGAAATTATCACTTAGGGCTTTTTAAAACAGAACATAAGTAGGTCAAACAAATCCATGAAATTCGTTTCCCTGCATGACACTTCAGAGCCAAAAGCACTTGTTACAGTGTACACATCACCAAGAGACACAATGGAAACCCTTAAGAATGGGTAGAATATCCTCAGAGAGAGAATGAAAAAGAAACAATATAATCAACTGACACAAGACACTAGGAGATTGGCAAAGGGGTTTATACTTGTCATGTCATTAAGGCCAAAACTGAAGCATGAATTTTACAGAAAGGCCAGCCTGATTCATAAATTCATGAACCAGTGTGAGGCAATATTTGCCTCCCCGAATATGTGACTCTTGAATTTTTCTTTCATTACATGAAACTTCAAGATTTCCCTGAAACCTTGTATGCAAGAAAAGACATTTAAAGTTTTCCCTTTTATATACATGTATGTGACATGTGAATTTCTCTAACATTTGCGCATGAAACAGGATTAGGACTCCCCCCTTTGCTAGGTCTTGCAAGAGAAAACTTTCAGCACTTCAAACATCCCAGCTGCCCTGCTATGTGTCACATTTGCCTGGCTTAAAAAACAGCAAAGTGATCTAGTTGGTGTATCACTGTTTACATTGCAATATGAACATGTCTAATTTATTCAAATTCAAATTTTGTGGAGACAAATCAAAAGATTTGACTTTTAGGCAATGTTAATGGTACAATGGTAGGCATTAGTAAAGATAATTTTAGCTTGTCTTTATCATAATGGCCTGTCTCAAGGTTTATATGTAGTATGTCTGTATTTTATCAAATATAATGATCAAATGTCTCTAAATTATACATCACACCCAGCTGGTAACTGTCCCAGGTATGTGAAAAGATCCAGACTTTGTTATTCCTCAGCTATGTAATCACTGCAAGTATTGATAACCTTGCAGTGAGTAGCTGTATGAGGATAGAGAGATGTGCAAGTACTGTACTCCATAAGAAGAAAGAAAAACCAATCCAGTTTACATGTGCATATTAATTTAAAATGGCTAAACTCTATCCTTGATCTGTCTGTCAAATTAACTACACCTACCTGTATGCTACAGACGCTACTTGTGCCTCATCCTCATCAGTAACAAATGGGTTAGAGTTGGGAAATACTTTTTTGTCTTGCCCTTTCTTCAGACACTGCTGTGAGAAGTTTTGATTGATGAATGTTGCTTCAAGGCCAAGATTTGTGGGAGAATTAATTCCATTTCCTTCATCAAAAGCCACATCATGTGCAGTCTCACTCACTGTTAGTAAATCTAAAAATACAGAGAAGTCAATGGTACACAATCCATTTGGCTGAGGGGACCTGGGAATGCTAACAGACCCCAAAGACTTAAAACCTATGGTGGAGAAGATGTGGATAATGTACATGAAACAGGTACTTAAACAATACTTTCAAAGACCATAGCCAAGTGCAGACTGTAAGTTTATTACTACATTATATGCTGTCATATGAAGAAAAAAGACAACAACAACAAGAAAAAAGGGCATAAACAGAATATAGGGCACATGGTGGTTCCTTTTATTGACAGTCTGTAGAATGGGGTTGTTAAGAAAATGTGTCAATCAAGAAGCTGTGATCTTGATTTAAGTGTGTTATGGACAGCAGGCAGAGTCCAACAATTAGATTATTTTCTATCATACAGAGACACAGCACATCTGGTAACACTCTTCACACAGTCCCAAGAATTTCATCATCATTGTTGTGAAATATTCTAGTCTTAAGTTTATCAAACCAAGAGGTTGTGCATTCCAAGTAAATTTATGTGATTGTATTTTGCAGCACTCTTTGTATCTCATTTGTGCTATATCATTCATGGTAACATATAAAAACAACTTTCTACAACTTGAAACCTACCAAATTCAGAATCATCTCTCTTGTCGAAAAACAACTTTGATCCAACTCGCTATAAAAAATTGACAACTATCAGGAAACTGACCAAAAAACTATGCAGTTACGATCAAAATAATTATTGATGTGAATTGCATCACACCTCTTTCTGTTATTCTCTCAAGGCTGCGCATTGCACCCCTGGTGGTCTGTGACCATTGAAATGAATAAACTTATGTAAAACAACAGAATTATTTAATTTAAGTTTCACCTAAAAAGTATAATTGAGTATGAGTTGAGTACTTTTACAGGTAACTGTTTAAACTGAGTAAAACTGACAAGGTATATTCTACACTGCACAATGATTCATGTTACACATCAACCAAATGTAAGACCATGCAGTGGTTGTGCATTTGGCTGGGGATACCATAAAAATTGAATAGGATTTATCAGAAGTTATTTAAATGTTTTCTTGTTACTCATATGAACTCCTTCATGATAATTATAGGGCTATTTGTTTTTTTGTAAAAGCTGAGCATGTCTCCTTGGGAGAGCATTTCATTGTGATAATTGGTACCTAAAGTATAATTTTATATAGTTTAAATTCATTCATTTACAATACCTGCACTACAACATCCCAGGAGTAAACAGATCGTGTTGCAGTCATGAGTGTAGCTATTATTGCATCAGTAGCAAAAACATTTCCCTTGGAAAGTAACTGAAAAGAAAATTATACAATTACAGCTTTTGCTAAAATAGTAACAACCATACAACACTATGCATTCATGCCAAACTTGCAATGAACAGACATATCTCAATTATACAGATTGTACATTACCAAGCTGATAAAGTTCATATTGTCTTGAAAACCAATGGTCATTGGGTTTAAACATACCTTCCTGATGATAGGGTCATCTGTAGTTGTAACTTTGTGGAAGATTCTATTCACTCCAGCTAAAGGCACCTCATTCTTTGTTGTCACACGATCATAACTTTTTTCATAAAACTCTAAACTACCACACTCATACCTGAGGATGGAATGGAGGGATTTAATGACAACTTTAGTGTTAATCCTACTCTAAACCCTTCATATAGTCCTTTCATAATCATGTAAATGACAATAGAAAGTCTTTAATACTCACAAATCTTCAGGTTCCTCTACGTTTGGCAGGTTCAGCTTGGAAAGTCGTGGAAAATCCATTTCACCATCCTCCAAAACTTTCCATTCCTCACGAACTGCTACAGAAGGTGCTCTTTTGTGAATATTCTAGAATAAGCAATGAGACATTATGTTCCACTTAATCTATAGATTGGTTTCAAATGTTTCTAAGGAATCAGATGGTAGAGTAAATACAGTCACTGTCCTGTACAGTACTTCTTTACATCATAGGAACCTTAAGATTGTGATGGGAAAACCCAAAGCTAAAAGGAGAGGATATTTCAGAGAAGACACTTGTCTACATAAATTTGATATATATTTGACATGTAACATTACTCCTTAAATAAGTTTGATGTAATAGAGTCAAAATAAGTGACTGCAGCCTTTCTTTACTCTTCCTTTTGCTTTGTTTCTCAGGAAGACAGATCATGCACAAGGCTCTCATTTTCATATGTAAATAAACCCAGGACGATGAATACTTACAGCTGGTTTTCTATCATGCCATTGTCCACGTCCATAGTTCCGTTGCATCTTCCGTGAGAATTTCTGCCTATTCTGGTTCTTTGACAGACTTTGCATTCCCCCTGCTGGATATCGCTGGTTTCGCTGGTCCCTCCTCATGTTTCTCTACAATTATTCCAAAAAAAAACACTCAACAATTGATTTGTTTGTAAAGCATTATAAAAGGTACCTCCCATGAATATTAAGCTTCTGGATTTTGCCCTATAATATTGATGGATGGTAAGCTTCCACTAACTTTTCAATTTATTTCACATCAAGTCTATAAACTGTTCAAGAAAGATAAAACAGTCTTTCTCTCCTAACTCACAGGTGAATATTTTCATCCCTTACCATTCCGGAAAGGATACAATGTTTAAATTTACTTACCTGTCCAAACCTGTTCCTATTTCTCTGGTAAAGGGGACGCTGTGGACGTGAGGTGTCCACTAGCTGGAAAGATGATTCATCCTCCTCATGGTAATAAGAGAACATTTGATTTCCCGCTCCAAACTGAGACTGGTATTTATCTAAATGGACAAAACTCCTATTACTGAATATGTCAAGTATCTTTGAACCCAAAGTAGGTTTAACCTCTTGTTATTCAGCTATAAAGAGTTTCACTGAGAATTTTTCATCCACAAAATATTTTAGCGAAAAGTTTTACCCTTGAGACATGTTTCTTGAATTTCCCAAGCTTGACATTGATTTCTTTAGAGCACTGGGACAGATGGGTGCAGAGGTGTAACAAGAATGAAAAGCTGCACATAAACAAAATACAAGTATTATGCAAAGTGGAATACTCACTCATGTATCTCCGATCTTGATAGGTGCCACCAGTCCAGTCAGATATCTTAATGGTATAAATTTAAAACACAACTCAATATAAGAGGAGACTTTGTTCACATTCTTTGAGTAAAAGATACATCTTCCCCTACAAACATTTCTTCTTTCCTTTCCCCTCACACTGACTCTCATACCATGTCCCTAACCTAAACACCCTGTTGACAATCACTTATATGTACATGGCTATTTATACTTCTGTTAAATTGCCCTCTGTTTCTAAAAGTAAATTTTTGATAATTGATGCTGACTTCACTGATAGTTTCAAGTCAACACTCTATTTCTATTTTCTTAAAAACAAATGTACATTTTTTAAATCCAAGTACAGTCACACTTTTATCCCACCAGAGCAATTCGATATACACACGTATCTACCTACTTATCCTACATCACTGCTGAATCAGGATTCTTCAACCTACAATTATCATCCTCAGTTTAAGATATCGTATCCCATACTTAAGAAATATGATCACAGTGGTTGAATTTAGAAAAAGAACTGACATCTCCTGAAAAGACGATCACACAATTCAGGAAAAAAGTCCAGGAAAAAACAACAAGAAATCGAGGCAATTTTCATCATTTGAAGTGTTTCTTAACTTGAAAAGTTTCCCTTATTTTTAGAACGTTTCCTTAAATAAAAACATGAAAACAAGAGACTGGAGCCCTTAATACCGGAATCAAATTGATTCGTTGAATAAAGAAATTTGTTTTAGAGCGTATTAAAATAAGGACTGAAATCAGAAAGCGACGTGGCATTTCCGAGCGAGTTCAACCCAAAAAGTGTTCCTTTTACCTTGCCGAGACGATCTCCTTTAGAAAATGGCTGATATGGTATGTCTTTGAAAGCAGTCGGAATGGCACAAGGGCCCCAACCATCGGGATTATCTTCTATCACCGGCGGAATAAAAGATGCCTTACCCGCCATAATGGATTTTTAGGTATCACGTGGAAATTATTTTCTCTGACGTTAACACTACCATAAAAGCGCTGCCTAAAGAAACTGCTGTCTCAAAGTATTGGGTAACTTCATTGCACGCATTCGTCTCCGCACCCACTGGGTATAACAATGCTTAAATGCAACCTAATATTTCTAATCAAGTTCCTTTTTCACCACGTCAGGTTTTCCAACAGATTCCCTCAATTTCCTGTCATGTTTTTTTTTCGGCAATAACTCTTTGAGCACAATAATTATTCCGACACAGCTATTTCCGGCACAACTTTTTGCAGTACGACTTTTACGACGCGACTTTTCCTGATAAGACTTTTACGGCATAATGTTTCCAACACTACATTTCTGGCACAACTTCATGTGGAGCGACTTTTTCTCCTTTTTTTTTCTTTTTTCAATTTCCTTGGCAGCGCGGGGATCTACGCAGTAGGTCACCACTAATCAATCGCAGCTCCAGTTTATCACGATTCAGAGTTGAAGCTATTCTCCTTTGGACCCTTAAAATGACGTGTACCTCAACGATAAATATGGGATTTCTCACCTTGTCTAATGAACCTACATTCACGGACTCCGCCATTTTTTTGTGATTGATACCTGAATAAAGAACATCCACAGCTCTATAGTGTCAGTTCTTGTTTACTTTTTTTCAAATTTTTTATTGTTGTTGTTTTTGTCTTACCTATACAGTACGTACAAGTGAAGACAATAACACCACTCAAATACCTATATCGAGGATTGCAAAACTAGTCTAACTTGCAGTACTAGGATTAACTTTCTTACCTACACACACTGGTATGTGTACATGTACGCATGTACACATATCACATCTAACTCAAACAATTTTTCTTCCTCTCTTATATATCGAAATAATTACTAATATTACAATCAGTTCGACATTTATAATACTTACGAAATCTTCGATACTAACATCGCTCACAAAAAATAATGAATTGATAAAACAGAAAAGATATGGAAAGGTAGATCTTGAACTAACGCTCCGTACATACATTTATCTAAGTAAACAATACTTACGATACCAACCTTTGCAAACCATGACGTTTTTCGAAGAAAATTTTAAATTGAGTTTGCCCAATTTCTCTCAGTGTTTCCATTTTTTTCTCAAGTTACTTAAGAAGTCAGTATCACTCACGCAGAAAAAGTAATATTTTGCCATGTGATTCGCACGTGATCAATAAAGTTAACTATCTGTAAGTAACTTTTGGGTTATCAGTCATGGCCAGTGTTATGAATTTTTAAAAACGTTTTGGCATCCTAAAATATGTTTTTGTGTGTTAAAGCGCAACTGATACAGTGGCCGTAACCTTAGACCCCCCTCATATTCTTACCCCGTCGAAGTGACTGTATAGTCATCTTTAGGATGACTAATGATGACTATGATGACTATGATTTAGGATGACTTTACTTAAGATACAATCTTTTACAAACGGTTATAAAGGCTATTAGCAATTTCCTACTAGTACTACATGCGTAGTTAAACATCTGCTCCAAAGTCAATTTTTTAAAAATTGGGACGGCAAAATTACTCAACTCCTCACACCAATCCCTCACACTGGCCTCAATTTTACGGTCTCATTTAATGAAAGAACCGCCAGACTCTCCGATTTTTGTATGTACCAGCCTCCTGTTGACAATAGCGGACCAAATTGAGATCTGCATTTACTTCGAAAATTAAATAGAGACCCTTAATGAGAGGCTGGGGTTCTGGATACTCTAACTTTACTCTCTGGATAAGCCTTCGGTGAGGTCAAGGTTTCGGATCGTAACTACGTGCAAGTTGATTGGCAAACTATAGGAAAGTAAAGTCAGATGATGCTATAACAGGGGAAGTAAGAAGATGTGAAATTCATCTATTTCTTGGATAGCAAGAACCTCTCTAGAAGAATATTGATCGAGAGGGGTCCATGGTTTAACCTTTTCTTGAATCGCTTTTAGGTAATAGTTCAAACGACAATTTTCTCTTCCCATCTCCCCTTGGTACGTTTTTTGTATTTAAAAGCGTTGTGCTTGATTTGATTTGCCCAATCATGTCCACAGACCTTGCTATTGAATCTAAATTCGAAGTGAACATCCACTAGAATTTGACGTTCAAGTCATACTGTGTTCTTTTTAATTCATTAATTTATTTTAGCTTAGCTTGTCGCCCATTTCTGTTTGAAGTTCATGAGTTCCATAAGGTTCCTTTTGCAACCAGTTGTTGTATTTGATGAACTCAGAAACTTTGTTAACAATTATTTACTTAAGTGGAGGTGAATAGAAGTGGATATTTACCGAGCCGCGAAGCAGCGATAAATATCCACCACTTTCACCGACACTTACTACAAGTGTCAGTACCCTTAAGCTATTTGAGCTAATTTGGGACACTATGAAATAAAAAGATACATATGCACAATACTATATAGGCCTGACACTAAAAATATGAAAGAAATATAGACATGTATGTGTATAAAATTAAATTAGATTAAGTAAATAAACAAATAAAAATTTAAGACTTTATAGGGTGCACTCCGGCCCATATGACAGAATATTTATCATAGGTTATCGAGTTATATCTTGGAATCACAATGTCAGAGTTACGTACATTGTAATTAGTGTCCAGTCTTTAAAATAACTCAGATATATACTCTGAATACATTCCATCGTTCAACTTAAACATCAAAATTGCTCAATCTTGCTGTCTTCTGGCCCCAATCGTTTAAAGGGCGGATGTGTTAACAAAATTTATTGTGCTATCCAACGTTTAGAGATTTATCCAGTGGATAGTGCTATCCACCCTAAGAACAACCGGAGTTTGGTGTATAAACTAGGTAAGTTGGTCTTCTTTAACAAGTGCTCATAACTTGATGCACTGTATTTAAATACAGTCATTAGACCCTTCTCTTGCAGTCTATTTAGTTTGCATTTGTGGGGTGCTCTTATCACAACGATTGAAAATACTTCAGTTCAGAAGGGATCACAGATTCGAAGAGACGAAACTTGAACTTCTTAGGAACAAGTTTCCGCATCCTCGTCAGAATACCAATTTTAGAATTAGCTTTGGAGCACACTAACGTGATATGTTCGTCAACATTGAGTTTCTTAACTATAACGACTCCTTATAAACTTAGAGAGTGTGTGTATTCATTCTCCTCATCGTCAACAGTAATTTGTATTTCCGATGAGTCTTTCGCTCTGGAATCTAAGAACAATGCTTGAAACATCTTTATTTCCTGATAGGAAATTTCTTTTATACCAGTTAGCCACTAACGCCGCCACGTTAATTAAGGTTGACCTAAATCGCTGAGCGAGTGACTATATGCACACAGTTGATGATCATCAGCCTTCAACAATAGGTCACGTTTACTTATGCTTTAGTACAGGTTATTTTGAAATACGTTCCATAGCAGGGGTCCAAAGCACGAGCCCTGTGGAGATCCTTTCCTATGATCATGCTAAGCACCAGTAGAAGAAGGAAGTTTAACTTGCCACCACAACAAACTCGCCATCACTGAGAGTCAAATCGCCCTCACTCGTTGACGATAATCGTAAAAGGCTATTCTCTAGATTTCTCAAACGGTTTAAAACTTTTTGAGCACACCCTTAGAGGTATTTCCCGAAATGCCGTGCAAAGTTTTAGCTGTTGAATTTCCCTAAGTCAGTGGCGACAATTGATGAACTGACAAGTGCCCAAATTTCCCAAAATGCGCTTCGAATTCACTTGAAGTTAGTTATTCGGTTAGTTACTCGGTTAACCGAGTTTATTCAGCACTTGAATCTAATGGTTATCCATCGAATTTCATTAAAAACATCCAGGCCAACAAAACCCGACGTTCAACAGTGTTGTCCCCGGAGGAACTTGTTGGAACATTTTTCAAGATGGTCGAGGGGTCCGAATCACGCAAGTCGTTCGCCTCTCTTCCATACATTAAAGGCGTAACAGAACCTCTGACTCGTGTCCTCAAAAAACACGACATCACAGTGGTGAACAAACCACTCATCACCCTTCAACAACAGTTCCCGGCCCCAAAATTTCGACCATCGTTGGAATCGCAAACAAATGTTATTTATAAAATTCCTTGTGGTGACTGTTCATGGTGTTATATTGGTGAAACTGGCAGGGCCTTCAACACAAGAAAGAAAGAACACCTCAGAAATGTGAAAACCGCGGCAAAAGGCTCAAGAATTGCCAATCACGTCTGGGCCAATAGTCACGCAATAGACTTTGATAATGCATCTATTATTGACAAAGGCGGTTTCAGAATAAGAAAAATACTAGAAGCGTGGCATTCCAAGTTAACTCCCAATGCGGACAACAATTCCTGTCCTTTGCCCGGACAATACAACATTCTTTTTAACAAACATTCTTAGTTATCAGCATTTTTAATTTTTACTTTGTACTTCACACCTAGTATTTTTTACCTTTTTATTATTTTACCCGTTGAAGGCTGTAGCGCAAACAGCCGAAAGTTCGTATTTCTTAAAAGTTTTAGCTAGAGATCGTTTTTTAAATTTCATAAGATGTTTCATCCTGGCTGCGGCCCCTCTATCTTTTCAAACATGTTTTGTGTCATTTAACGGTTAAGGTTCCACTATTGAAATGGTTCACATAACTTCTGAGTCCCTTTTTCTTTTCGCAATATGCTACTACATCTTAGCTTTCGTTTAACAGGCTACACATACAGTGGCGGATCCAGGGGGAGGGTCCGGGGGATCCGGACCCCCATATCAGAAATAACGCTTACAACTTCCCGACCCCCATATCAGACCTAACGCTTACAACTTTGAGACTGAAATTCTTACATCGACAGGATCGTATATCACTTTTTAACTGGACGATTTTTGCAATGAAGCGCGCGTGGTATGTTTCCACTAAACTAAATTTCAGGGTTATTAAAAAATGTAATTGTTTTTGGGTACCCTCTTATGATCTGTTCGCCTCTGCTCGCAAAGTAGTATTTCCCGCGCCAACGGCGACCGGCGTTCACAGATTGA